AGACAGCCTAGCTTCCTCACACACGAGTGACAGCCGTGAGACAGATCAGAAGCCAGAGAGGGGAAGGCAGGAGGCCGCGCTATCAGGAACTTGAGGAAAGAGGACGACTCTACTCAAAGGTCAACTTTAGTTTGAGTTTTCTGGCACCCCGAGAGAAAAGGGGGGACACCCTCGGTTCCTGTGGTTAGGCTCTCATTAAGAAGGGTGTTGGGCTTTTAGGAAGGTGGGGTTTTCTCAAGCAGGGAGACTGACAATGACAACAAGGCCAGTAGGGGGTGGGAAGATCTGGGCAAAGTTGGGTGTTTACTGACTGGCCACCTAAAGTGACCTAGTGTCCTTAGTGACAATGAGACTAATTGTCCTGGGCTGCTGTGGATTCAAAGAAGACAATAGAAATGCATGTGTCAGCACATGGCAGCATCTTGCATAGTGAAGGTGAAATTTAAATTCTCGTCACCCACACAGACCCACTTAAAATTTTTACTGTTTGTTTGCACATGTTTGTATGTGACAGAGAGGTGATGACGATGATGAGGACGATGATGAGGACGATGATGATGGTGATGATGATGACGATGATGGTGATGATGATGACGATGATGATGACGATGATGACGGTGATGATGATGACGATGATGATGAGGAGGAGGAGGAGGAGGACGATGATGATGGTGATGATGATGACGATGATGGTGATGATGATGACGATGATGACGGTGATGATGATGACGATGATGATGAGGAGGAGGAGGAGGACGATGATGATGGTGATGATGATGGTGATGATGATGACGATGATGGTGATGATGATGAGGACGATGATGATGGTGATGGTGAAGTTCAGAGGAAGATCTTAGGAGTCAGTTCTCTCTTTGCACCAGGTGAGTTTTGAGGATTGAACTCAGGTCATCAGGCTTGGTAGCAAATATCTTTATCCACGCCAATTGCTAGCCAGCTTTTTTTTTTTTTAAACAAGGTGTCCTGGCTAGCTTTATGTCAACTTGACACAAGCTAGAGTCATCAGACAGGAGGGAGCCTCAGTTAAGACACCACCTTCATAAAATCTGGCTGTAGGCAAGCCTGTGGGGTATTTTCTTAATCAGTGATCAGTTGGGGGAGGGCTCAGCTCATTGTGGGTGTGGCCTACCTTGGGCTGGTGGTCCTGGCTTCTATAAGGAAGCAGGCTGAGGAAGCCGTGTGAGCAGTACCTTTCCACTGCTTCTGTATCGGTTCCTACCTCCAGATTCCTGTCCTGACTTCCTGTGATGATGCTATGGTAGGTTAAAAAAATTAACCCTTCCCTCCCTAGCGTACTTCAGTCCTGGTGTCTCATCACAGCAATAGTAATGTAACTAAGGAAAGTTGGGGCATTGCTGTGACTGCGTTTTGGGGAGGATCGTGGAAGGACTTTGGAGCTTTGGGCTAGAAGAGCCATTGAGTGTTAGGAGCTCAGTGAGCTGTCCTGTGGGAACTTGGAAGATAAGACTGTGGAGAGCTGTCCTGGAGATGGGGGCCTGGCTTGCGAAGTTTTGAGGGAAACTTAAAGACTCTATCAGGGCTGTTTGCTATTTTGCATTAAGATTCTGTTGTTTGGGTCAGCTGGGGCTGAAGAGTCAGCCATGATTAACGAGAGACCAGCACCGTTGAAGTGAAGCCTTTGTGTAACTGGGACACTCGATGCTGGTCAGCTGGAACTAAGAAATTAAAGGTGGTTAAAGGGACCGGCATCCCTGAGATGAAGTCTTCCGGGAAGTATTTCCTGAGAATCACCACACAGAACTGAGCCTCAAAGGCACCATGGTCACACCTTGAACTTGGTGGTATAAGAGTCACCCAGATGGTTCTGGTTCTGAAGGCATGAAGGGTTCATGGAGAGCAGCTGAGGGTTGGCGCTGTAAGAGTCTGGGAGGGGCCATTGGCGAAGGCGTAGCCTTGGTAGCAGTTAGAGGCCTGGGATCGAAGGGGCCATGCAGAGAAACTGAGGCTTGGTACCAGGAGAAGCTATTGGTAAAAGTGCAGCCCAGTTGCAGTTGAAGACCCCGGTGTTTTGGAGATGCCAGCGAATTTGTAAGGCTATGGGACTTTTTTAGGTTTGTAAAATATTTTACATTGTGATGATTTATTAATGTTTAATCTTGGAGATAAGCAAGAAAGGAAAGGCTGAGAATTAATAGTGATGTGTTTGTATGTCCGCTTGAGAAGGCTGTCTTGGCTAGTTTCATGTCAACTTGACACAAACTACAGTCATCAGACAGGAGGGAGCCTCAGTTGAGAAAATGCCTCCATAAAATCTGGCTGTAGGCAAGCCTGTGAGGCATTTTCTTAATTAGTGATTGATGGGGAAGGGCTCAGCCCATTGTGGGGTGGCTTACTCCCCCCCCCCCGTCTGGTCTGGTGGTCCTGACTTCTACAAGAAAGCAGGCAGAGAGCAGGGCTGTGGTGGGGCACACCTTTAATCCCAACACTTGGGAGGCAGAGGCAGGCAAGTCTCTGTGAGTGTGAGGCCAGCCTGGTCTACAAAGCAAGTTCCAGGACAGCCATGACTGTTACATAGAGAGCTCTGTCTCAAAAAAAAAAAGAAAGAAAGAAAGAAAGAAAGAAAGAAAGAAAAACCAGGCTGAGCAAGCCAGTAAGCAGCACCCTCTGCATCAGCTCCTGCCTCCAGGTTCCTGTCCTGTTTGAGTTCCTGCCCTGACTTCTATGGTGACATGGAATGTAAGCCAATTAAAAACCCTTTCCTTCCCAAGTTGCTTTGGTCATGGTATTTCATTACAGCTATAGTAACCCTGACTAAGACACAAGGATGACTTTGTACTGTTTCTCCGGAGTGCTGGGATGGGAGGCATGTAGCGCCAAGTTTGGCTTATCTGGTGCTGGGGATCGCACCCAGGACTTTGTGTATTCAAGGCGAACACTCCACCAACTGGGCCACAGCTCCAGCTCCCGGGAAGTTGTAACTGTTTTCCTCACCTGACTGTCTCACAAAGATTTCTGTCGGGGAGCAGTGTTTAAATCGCAGCCTAGCCAAAAACAGGCCTAGGGACAGGTGTTGGCCTGGTCTCGGCTGGCACATTCCCTGCAGCATTCCTTCCTTCCTTCCCTGGCTTTGCCAGATTCTCCTCAGCTTGGGGTGGAAACCTCTGCCATCATCAGAGACTAGAGGGTATAAGTGAGGCTGTGAGCTTGGACGTCCTAGTGAGAAGGACATCAGCTGTATTCCTTAGAATAGACCTAACTCTCCCCTTAAAGGAACCTGTCCTTCCTCACGACTCCTCTGAAAGGCCCTAGTTTAAGTCCAGGGCCTACAGAATCCGTCTGAGACAGCGGGGCCCACACAGTAGCTTGCACCAAATCCTCTTTGCTTTCAGACAGAAATGGAGCAGTGTCAGATGGTCCAGACTGGTGCTGGCCCTGACTCTTCAATCTCAAGAGAGGCTGGGAGCGAGGACCGGCCAGCCTCCAACGGCACCACACTGTCTCAGTGGGGCTTCTGCACCGGCACCCGAAGAAGCCCACCCCAAGGACCTCCTGAGGCTTGGGGCCTCTGTCCTATTTGTTCACAGGAACAATCATAGCTACTTCACGGGAGCCGGCTTGCTTCATGGTAGAGCTGGTTCTTAGCACATTGAAAGCCCCAGGTTCCAACCCAGCACCAAAATAATTAATGAAAAGAATAAGAGTTTTCACTGGGCAAGGTGATAACGGCCTTTAAACCCATCATTCAGAAAGAAGCCAGACACAAGTGAATCTCTTGAGTTCAAGGCCATCCTGGTCTACAGAATGAGTTCCAGGTCAGTCAGAGCTATGCAGAGAAACCTGTCTAAAAAAAAAAGAAGGTGGCCGGGCGTTGGTGGCGCACGCCTTTGATCCCAGCACTCGGGAGGCAGAGGCAGGTAGATCTCTGTGAGTTCAAGGCCAGCCTGGTCTACAAGAGCTAGTTCCAGGACAGCCTCCAAAGCCACAGAGAAACCATGTCTCAAAAAAAACCAAAAAAAAAAAAAAAAAAAAAAAAAAGAAGGTGCTTTAGTTCCCAGCCTGAGTTGAATATCAAGTGAGTTATGCAGGCTCACCCTCCCGCATGACCCCAGGAAGGTGGAAAGTCATGGTCATATGAGAGGAGCCTAGATGTCCACTGCTTTCATCTGTTTCTTTATTGGAAACAGAGTCTCACTGTGTAGCTCTGGCTGGTCCGGAACTCATTATGTGAAACAGGCTGGCCTCAAACTCACAGAGATCTGCTTGCCTCTCTGCCTCCTGAATGCTGGGACTAAAGGCAAGCTCCACTATACCCAACCAACCATCTTTATTTTTAAGGCAGGTTCTCTTTATAGAACCTTGACTGTCCTGGAACTCACTATGTAGAGCAGGCTGGCTTTGAACTCAGAGACTCACTTGCCTTGGCCTCCCAAGTGCTGAGTTTAAAGGTGTGCTCGACCATGCCCAGCTACCTAATGTTCTGTTCTGATCTGTTTTGAGACAGGGATTCTTTGTGTGGCCTTGGGCAATCTGGAACTTTCTCTGTAGACCAGGCTGGCCTAGAACTCAGAGATCTGCCTGCCTCTGCCTCCCGAGTGCTGGAATTAAAGGCTTGCGCTGCCACTGCCTCGCTACCTAATGTTCTTCGAGGTTTCCAGGCTCTCTGTCACTCCTCTGCTTCTTCTTTCTTGTGTGGTCGCCTGTCGCCTGCACTAACTTCTTTGGGTGCCTACGACTGCAGTCAGTCATCCTACAGCGATCCCGACCTGTCACCGTTTGGTTTTTGTTTTCTGAGTGACTGTGGCGGTGTTCCTGGCTCTTGGGATCTTTATTTGGCGGTGTGCCTGTGCCATCAAGAGAAGACTTTGGTTTTGAACAGTGCGAGCTGCTGCATGGTTCAGAGGCACCTGCGACACTGCCCCTGCAGGGCCCGCTGCACTGGGGGCGGAGCTGGAGAGGCGCCTGCGAGAGGGGGTTAGGGGTAGGGGACCAGTTGTTTTTCCTGTTATCTGTAGAAAGGAAACAAAGTGGGAAGTGGAGTGTGCGGGCTGTCAGTGGGCGGGCCGTCCTGCCATGCGCCCCGCCTCCTGCTCACTTGCGCCCAGCCTCAGGGCTGCCAGCTGCGAGGGGCCCAGTTGCTCCGCTCCGGGACCGGTAAGTGCTCTCCACCGGTGGCATCACAGAGGAGGGAGGAAGACCGGGTTGGGGGTTCGGGAAGCGCGGGGCCAGCCCTCCCACTTGTCTGAGCTCGCACAGCCTGTGCTCCCTGACTTTGGGTGCCTCCTGGCGACTGGCAAGTGGACAGTGGATCCCTTCAGAGCTGGTCCGCCCGGACCTGGATCTGAGCTGTCCTCGGGGCTCCTGATGTCCGCTGTGCCAGCATCTCCCCTGCGCCAGCATCTCCCTTACACCTGTCCTTGCGCACCCCGATCGAGGGACCAGGGGCTCTCCGTCCCGGCCCCAGCCGTGTTGCGCTCTAAGTGTCGGCATAGTGCGGGTCTCCTGATCTTGGTCGCAGCAAGACTAAGCCCGACCGAGCAGGGTCACCCGGGTATGCCAGCCCAGGCGTGGGAACAGGGACGCGTCAAGATCCTCTACACCCTGGCCCTGAGGTCCTCCCAGCCTCTTCTCGGTGGGTCAAGGCTGCTTAGGGGGGCAGACACTGAAGTTTCTGGGCCCTCCTTCCCTCCCTCTCTCCTCCTCTGGTGCTGCTCCCCGCTGAGTTTTGGACCCAAGCGAGGGCGAGATCACTCTCCAGATCTGCGGCTGAGCAGGGGTTACGGCGGCAAAACCGCCTCCAGTTTTGCATTTCCGGACTTTTTTTTTTAATACTCTTGCCGGTAAATCAGCCTGAATGGGGCTCTTTTTTTTTTTTTTTAAGTTTCCTGTTCTTATTTAGGCTTCCTCCTCTGTACCTCATCCTTAAGAGATGGGGGAATGGGATGGCTTTTTGTGGACCCCAGGATGGAGGCGCTGCTAAGGCGGCTATGTGAGAGACGGCGACGCTGGAAGGGACTAACGGCAGGCGAGGACCTGCGTGCTCTGGGTTAGAAGCAGAGGCTGGAGATAGATAGACTTTCCAATGTCAGAGTGTGAAGCTCCCTTAAAACTACCCCAGTTTGCAGATGGAATCGGACACCCTCTGAGCTGTGCTCCCACTGGGTTTGGGCTCTGCCAGGAGCGGAGACCTGTCAATCTGCACCCTTACCAGACAGTCAGTGGAGTTTCTGCACCAGGACTCCAAGAAGCCCATGCCTGTCTCTGAGACTCTGGCATAGTCTTGCGTGTATGTGGTGGTGGGAGAGGGAGAGAGAGAGAGACAGAGAGAGAGACAGAGAGAGAGACAGAGAGAGAGAGAGAGAGAGAGAGAGAGAGAGAGAGACAGAGAGAGAGAGAGAGAGAGAGAGAGAGAGAGAGAGCTCTTCCCTAGTCACTCACTACTCTCTCCAAAGGGACTTGGAAAGTAAGGACCTATTCCACAGGTTCTTATCCCTGACACCACGGGTTCCTGCTAGTGCCCCTGGGTTCTTGACAGTTGAAGTCTACCATTGCGACTTTCCCCTACAAACTCGGCCGTTTTACATACAAGCACATGCCTGAGCATCCTGCTGTGGGCTCCGTCCCTTTCTCGGCCTGGGCTGCTTTGTACCGATGCGCACTAGTATCCATCAGCACTAGGACTGTGCTAAGCCAAGGCAGGTAGGGAGGCGCCGGCTTCTGGGGCTGGGGCTGGGCACGGGAGGGTGGGTCGTCACAGGACAGGGATCCGCAGCAGAGGAGCCAGAGTGGCTGCGCATGGGGAGCATTGCTTCCTGCTTGGTGTGTTTTTCTTCAACTGCACCGTAGGACAGGGAAGTGAATGTGCCGTGTATGAAGCAATTCCCCCTCTGGCTGCTTTTTTTAAAATTTATTTTTGTTTAGAGGGCAGTTCCCCAGCTGTTCTCTGTGGGTCCAGAGCCCTAGCACGTTTCATTAAGATGGGACCTTAGGAAAGCTTCCGCCACTCCCCAGGGAACCCGAGCTTCTCAAGAGGTCTGACTGTGGGGCTGATCCCTACGGCAAGTGCCCCTGGAGTACGGACAAGGAGAGCCCTGTAGCAGGGCACGTGTTGCAGTGATAATTGACTAGCCGCCGGCACGGAGGACAGCGGGAATCAGGCTAGTTTTTGGCACTGAGAAAAACACAATTTTGTTCTAGAAACAGGTCTCTGCTTGGTCCTGCCTTCAGCCCTCACACCGAATGGTCATTGAAGTGGCTGGTGGAAATCCCCAGCCATCATATCAGAAACGCTGCCAGTTTCAAGGTGGAAAAAAACATCAACCTGGGAACCTCCCTACTCTTCCTTTGCAGCCAAACACCGCGGGTGACTTTCTGTGAGGTGCACCAAAGCATGACCCACTCTGCGCCGCCTTGCACCCCTACCCCCCCCACCGCTCAGCGATGTCCCCTGGAGCCTAAGACAGTTCCCTTTCCGGTTGAATATGCATGCAAACCCTTTGAGGGAGGGTGAGGGGGGGTGCTTTAGAGGGGTTTCCTGGGCTGGGTGTGATCTGCCTCCTTGATGGATGTGGCAGCTCCAGCCAGGAGCTCTACCCCTGGTGGGGAGATTGCTTCCATTACAGAAGATTTGAGGGGGTGGGTAGAGAGCCGTGGGAGTGGGGAACAGAGGAGAGGCCCAGGGAGGGGCTGGGGGAGCAGCTGCTTGGGAATTTAGGTGCCCTCCGCATGCTGTGTTGGTTCAAGTTTTGCACCTTCAAACAGATTTCTATTGGAGGCCGGAGTTTGAAGTCAGGGTCTCGGTGTGCCCATTCCTGTCCTCCCCACCAATCTCGGGGAGACCTTGCTGCTTCTGGCTGCCAAAGACGCCAAGTGGCCCTTGTCTCGTGACTCGTCACTGCCATCTCTGCCTCTGTTCTCAGGGCCGTCTCCTCCCATCTGTGTGACCTTTTCTGTCTCTGAGAGCACTTGTCCCTGTGTAGGGCCACTCGGGTAACTCGAGAGGAAGTAGTTTTTAGGTCTTTAACTTATATATGCAAAGATCCTTTCTCGGGGTTGGGGAGATAGTTCAGTGGAGTACACTTTACCTGAGTTCAAGCCAAAGAACTGAACTCATGTTTAGAAACAAACCAGGAAGTGGTGGTGCACGCCTTTAATCCCAGCCCAGCATTCAGGAGGCAGAGGCAGGTGCATCTCTGCAAGTTCGAGGCCAGCCTGGTCTACAGAGTGAGTTCCAGGGCAGTCTCCAGAGCAATACAGAGAAACCCTGTGTGTGTGGAGGGGGCTCTTAACCCTATTAGAGGACCAGAGTGGTTCCCAGCCCACCATGGACAGCTCACAGCAGCTTATAACTCCAGGTCTCAAGCATCCATAAGCCCTTCTGGCTTTCACCACACCTGCACCCACAGCATATACTCACAGACACAGACATTTTTAAAAGTCAAAACTAATTTTTGTTTTGTTTTTCAAGACAGAGGTTCTCTGCATAGTCCTGGATGTCCTAGAACTCACTCTGTAGACCAAGGTGACCTCAAAAATTTACCTGCCCCTGCCTCCCAAGTGCTGATATTAAAGGTGTGCACCACCACTGCCTGGCAAAAAATTAAAAATGTTAATAATTTCCCATCTAAAACCAGGTGGTCGGCATTGCTGAGGAACAGCATGGAGGTCATTGTCTGACCTCCCCACACACGCACGCTCTCACACCCGCATGCATGTACACACATGCGCATTTACTCATACTCATGTGCTTCCAAACGCAAACTTTTTTTCAATCATTGGCAAGGTTCTAGGGTCAAGCGCCCATGGTACAGCTCTGGGTGGCCACCCAGCAGCTCACCAGAGCAAAGGGAGTGTTCTGGATGCATTTTCCAAGAAGGAAGCTGGTGTCTTCTTTCTATTCTGTCCTGCCTCTTCCGCAGGGTGACTTTAGGCTGATGTTTCAGTTTCCAGTGATCTCCGCTGAATGGCCGTCCCAAGCCTCCCTTCTGCTTCCCTTTCTCTGGCTTTGTGACCCACAGAAGCTTTCTTGTTTCTGGGACCCTGGGAGGAATGGGGGCCCTAGTACATCCCCTCTCTCCTGCACACCCTTCTCAGCAGCTGCTGGCTGGGACCTTCCTTACAATCTGAGGAGGTGACAACGGGAGCTTTGTTTTTCGTTTCTTTGAGACAGGGTTTCTCTGTGTAGCTGTGGTTGTCCTGAAACTCACTCTGTAGACCAGGCTGGCCTCAAACTCTCAGAGATCCGCCTGCCTCTGCTCCCCAGGGCTGGGATTAAAGGCGTGTGCCACCAGCGCCCGGCTTGTTTCAGTTTTTGTTTTTGTTTTGACCACTTGAGTCCCAATCCTCCTTGGGGACCATAACTTGTCTGACAGCTGAAAGAGTTCATGACATGGGGCTTGTGGCATTGGAAGGGACTTGGGGAGCCCCCATTACTGAAGCAAGAGGGAGAGCATGGCGGGTCATGGGTCCCAAGGGGCCTTGGCGGTGCTGGGCCACTCTGTTGTCTCTGCTCTAGATGGGACATTGCTTTTCTTTGTTGTGGATGGTTGGAGCAGTGTTCCTACAGGGAAGGGAGAGCTGAGCGGTGTTGAGACTCTGGGAAGGCCAGCGGGCAGGGCAGGATTAGCACGCTGCCGAGACAAAGGTGTGGTCTTTAGGGTCACAGATGGTTTTTTTTGTTTGTTTCAGTGTGGAACCCAGGCTCTTCTGCGAGACAGCGGCAGGCTGCCTCTCTGAGTAGCAACCCCAGAACTGGGTTTTTAGCTTCAGCTAGTTAAAAAAAAAACTTTTTGCTGAGTGTGGTGGCACACACCTTATTTCAGCACTCAGGAGGCAGAGGCAGGAGGATTGCTGAGTTCAAGGCCAACTTGTCTACATAGTGATTGTCAGTACAGCCAGGGCTACATAGACTATATGTCAAATTTATTTTTATTAGTTGAAAATGATTTGTGTGTGCCTGTAATGGCACACGGTCATTGTATCCCTTAGAGCTGAAGTTAAGGTGGTATGAGCCTCCCTGCATGGGTGCTGGAACCTAAGGGGTTCCTTCCAGGAGCAGTTCCCTTCCCCCACCTGCTGAGTGACCTTGGGTTAACTGCTTAACCTCTCTGAGCCTCAGAGGCAGTTGTTATGACAACGGTATAGCAATACCTATCAGATTCTAGAATGCCATGGATGGGTAGAAGGAGTAGACACAGCAAGACAGATGTCTGCAGAGTAGCTGAGTGAGGTCCCTTTACCCCAAGCATGAGCCTCCCACCCCCACCTCTAGCCCCTAACAACTGCTCTCTTGTTTTTATGACCTTGACACAACTCTAGGTGCCTTATGGAATGCAATAATATAGACTAGCATAGCCCCATCTTTTAGACAGGGTCTCAGGTAGCCCAGGTTGGCCTCAAATTTCACTTCACAGCTGATCTTGAACTCCTGGTGTCCTTGCCTGTGCCTCCCAAGAGCTGGGATGACAGGCTGGGCCCACCATGCCCAGATAGGCATATGCTTTTGTGTTTGACTCTGTGTGTGTGTGTGTGTGTGTGTGTGTGTGTGTGTGTGTGCGCGCGCGTGCGTGCACGTGTACCCGTGTGAACACATGGAGGCCAGAAGAGGACACAGCTTATCTTCCTCTATCATTTTTGCTTCCTTATTCACTTAAAACGGCGTCTCTAAAGCCAGGCCATGGTGGTGCGCGTCTTTAATCCTAGCATTCGGGAGGCAGGGGCTGGCAGATCTCTGAGTTCAAGGCTGACCTAAGGGAGACTGATTTATGCAGAAACATCAGCTGCCAAGGATGTCGATGACCTTGGAGGGAGTGCCAGTAAAGCCTTTCTGTCCAAATGGACCGTCCTCTTTATTAGCCGTGGCCATCCGGCCGGATTTGCATGGCGGTTGCCCCAAGGCACATGAATGGCCTGTGGCGTGGCAAGGTGCGTCTCACAGAGCGGATGAGGGGTTGATAGACTTTGGGCTGCTTCTCTGGGAACCTGGGTACCCAGTGATCTAGCAGCCTCTGAGTTGTGGAAAGTAGAAATAAAGGTTGTGAATGACTCCTGTCAAGAACAAAATTCATCTTGGGAGCTGTTCTGCTGTTAGCGTGCACACACACCTTTGCGCTGTTGGAGAAACTCAGGTCGGGGCTGGGATGTGGCACAGTTGATGGTGTTTGCCTAGCATGCCAGAAGCCCTGTTCATTCCCAATACCACCTGAACCTGGGTTAGTGGTTCTCTCCTACACTGCCAGAACCTGGGGCAAGGACACAGGAGGGTCAGAAGTTCAAGGTCGCCCTTGGCTACAAAACCAGTTCAAGGCCAGCCTAGGTTGCAGGGAACTCTGCCACACAATAAAAAGAAAACATAAACTGAGCCTGCCCTATGGATGACCCAGAGGGTTCGGACAGCGGAACCTGCCCTATGGATGACCCAGAGGGTTCGGACAGCGGAACCTGCCCTATGGATGACCCAGAGGGTTCGGACAGCGGAACCTGCCCTATGGATGACCCAGAGGGTTCGGACAGCGGAACCTGCCCTATGGATGACCCAGAGGGTTCGGACAGCGGAACCTGCCCTATGGATGACCCAGAGGGTTCGGACAGCGGAACCTGCCCTATGGATGACCCAGAGGGTTCGGACAGCGGAACCTGCCCTATGGATGACCCAGAGGGTTCGGACAGCGGAACCTGCCCTATGGATGACCCAGAGGGTTCGGACAGCGGAACCTGCCCTATGGATGACCCAGAGAGTTCGGACAGCGGAACCTGGGTCTTGGGCATCAGCCTGGCCTTTTGCCCGTGGTGTTAATTACTGAAGCCCTCCCCCACCTTTTTTTTCATTGCTAGGGACCTCAGGCTTTGTACATTCTAGGCAAGCTATCTTCTACTGAACCGTACTGCCAGCCTGACTAAAATCCTTTATTATTTTTTTAGATTTTTTAAATTTAAATTAGAAACAGTCTTGTTTCACATGTCAATCCCAGTTCCTTCCCCTCCTCCCCTGCCCCCACCGGCCTCCTATCCCAGCACCTTTCTGCTCCCCAAGTAGGGTGAGACCTTCCGTGGGGGATCTTCAAAGTCTGTCATATCATTTGGAGCAAGGCCTAGGGCCTAGGCCCTCCCCTCCCCGTGTCTAGGCTGAGAGAGTGTCACTCTATGTGGAATGGGCTCCCAAAGTCCATTACTGATCCACTACCAGAGGCTAGGCGTTGGTGGTGCACACCTTTACTCCCAGCACTCGGGGGGCAGAGGCAGGCGCGGATCTCCGTGAGTTTGAGGCCAGCCTGGTCTACAGAGTGAGTCCCAGGATAGGCTCTAAAGCTACACAAAGAAACCCTGCCTCGAAGGAAAAAAAAAGGCCCTTTATTTTTAAAAGATCTTTTTAATAGTGTGTGGGGGTGGGTAATGAGCTCTTAAAGGCCAGAGGCGTCAGGTCAGAGTTGGAGTTCCAGGACAGTTGTGCCGGGAACTGAACCCTGGTCCTCTGCAAAGGCAGTAGGCTCTCCAAGCTACCAAGCCCTCTCTCCTTAGCCTCATGGAATGAAGTGGCCCCTGCTTTCATCCCAGGTGGCCCAGGGCAGCCTTAAGTGAGGAGACAAAGCCAGGTGGGCGGTGTGTGCTACACAGGTGCTTCTCTCCCAGGCTGACCTGCTGCTGGCAAGGAATTACACAACCAGGAGATGGGTCTCAGATAATCTGCTTCATGAGAAACTTCCTCCTAGGGGGAGGACCACCAAAATCCCCTACTTTCCCCCTTACTTGTCTGTCTAGAAACAATTGAGAAATAAATAAACATCCGTCCCTTTCAGAGTCAACAAAAGCATAGCGCAGGACCCCTGCTTCTGAGGGCGAATACGACTCCCCACAAACCTCAGCTTTTCTCCCTGTGTGTGGTGTGACAAATATTTGAATGATGTGACTCCTCTGTCGTTTGGAAACCTGTGAAGGGTGGTCTGTTACTCAGCTAAGTGAGGCACGTTTAACAAGCGGCCATTGCCTGAGATGCTGCCGTTGCCCGAGGTTTCAGGTGCGAGCGGGCGGTGCTTGGAGAAAATGAATGGAGACAGCTTCAAGCTAGTGTCCAAACCACAGGCCTTCCCATTACACGATGAAGGCTAGCGACTAAGCTCCGGGGTAGGGCACTGGCTTCAGGTGCCTGGGGTCCTAGGCCTGATCCCCAGCATTGAAGAAGGAAAGAGTTAGAGCTGAGGCAGTGGCCCCCTGGGTAAAGGCGCTTGCTACCAAGTCTGACGACCTGCGTTTGTTCCCTAGAAATACGTGGTGGGAAGAGAGAGAACAGTTTCCCAAAGGTTGTCTGCGGATCTCCACCCTCTTCTGTGGCGTTCTTGTGCCTATACAAGTAAGTGTAATTTAAAATTTTTAAAAAGAAGCAGGGTGGTGGTGGCATACACATTTAATCTCGGCCCTTGGGAGGCAGAGACGGAGGCAGGCGAGTCACCATGAGTTCCCGGCCAGCCTGGTCTACAGAGATAGTCCAGGATGGGCCCCAAAGCTACACAGAAGCTTTGCCTCGAAAAAGCAAAAAAAAAAAAATTGTTTTTTTTTTTAAAGAATTGGACAGACGGGCTGGACATAGTGGCATACACCTGTAACTCTAGCACACAAGAGATAGAGTCTAGAGGAGCGTGAATTTGACGCTGACCTAGGCTACTTAGCAAGAAGCAGTGGTTTGTGTGTCCTGACACTTAACATGTATGTGGACTTGCTGAGTGCCCAAGCCAACAAGCTTCCATCTGAAAAACCAGAGCTGATGGTGTCTCACTGATTTGTGTTGATAGTCAGAAATAATTGAATCCCGTGGCAGCTTATGGCTCCGTGAAAAGCCCCAGTTTTCTGCCATTTGAAGTCTGAATTTTAGAGGCCCACAATCTGGGAGGGAATGACTTCCGAGTGGCAGGTGTCCAGGCCACAAGTCAGCATTTCAAACTGTGCCTGAGCCCTGTCTCTGTAGCTAAGACATAAGCCAGTGCCTCTGGGTGGGCAGGTAACTCCAAACACGGCCACCCAGGATCCCTGTGTGCTAGGTTTGTGGGGAAGAGGTTTGGGGAAATGGCTGAGTCTCCGTAGTAGTAACCTTGACCCCGATGGACCATTCTCCTCCAACTTTCCCACCCACTGCGCTGGCCAGAGAAGATGTGATGTATAACCCAGTCAGCAGCACCCCACCCCAACCGTGACCTTGCTTTGAAGATTCAAGCCCTATTTTTAAAGCTGACATCCATGATCTGTGCATGTTTATTTTACTATAAAGATTATTTCTTCTACTTTTGAGTCAAATTGCTGCTCCAGAAAGATGTTTGTTTTCTTCTGTGGCTTCTTCTACTCCCAGCAGTGACTCCAAGCTTAATTTGAAAGTAGGAAGATTATGAAAAAGATCAGATGAATGAGAGACAGAATTTTGACAAGGAATATATAGTTTTTTTCCCCTCTCATATGTGTGGTGTGTGTGTGTGTGTGTGTGTGTGTGTGTGTGTGTGTGTGTACAGGAGTTCTCATATTCAAGGATGGGGGAGGAGTGTGTGTGTGTGTGTATGTATATATAGGAGTTCTCATGTGAGGGAATGGGGGAGGCATGTGTGTGTACATGTGTGAGTGTGCCTGTGGAGACCTGAGGTCCATGTCAGCAGTCTTCCGTCTCCACCATGCTCCTTGAAGCAGGGTCTTGCAGTTGAACCCGGAGTTGTCTGTCAGGCAGTCTAGCTACCCAGCTTGCTCTCGGGAGCCCCTGTATTTACCTTTTGGCCTCCACCTCCAGAGTGCTGGGATTAAAGACGTGTGGCACCACTGCCCGGCCTTATTTATTTTTATTTACCTGTGTGTTCACGTGAATTTGTCTGCGTCATGCATGTGGCGGGGGCTGTAGGAAGACAGAGGGCATTGTGTCTCCTGAAACTGGAATTACACATGGAGTAAGCAGCCAGATATAACAGGCCCTGGTGATGATGAGGTTGCCCACCATGGCCCCAAGGCCTTGGGAAAGGGAGACAGAGACTGAGCTGATTTTACAAGTTCTGGGGCAGAAATGCCTGAGACCAAGCAGGAGGAAGGGAGCATGGAAGCCTTGCCAGGGAGAGACAGGCACACATGATAAATGATGGAATGGGGTATGCATGGGGTGGCCCATGTGTCCCCAAGGCCTTTCTTCCCTTGTCTCAGTGGGTGCAGAGTTATGTGAGATATGTGACCCCCCCACACCATACATACATACACACATACCTCCCACACATAACACACCCCCACACCATACACACATGCATACATACCTCCCACACATAACACACCCCCACACCATACACACATACATACCTCCCACATATAACACACACACACACACCCTATACCCCACACAGAATTGAGAATTTATGGTTTTTTAGGGGGGAAGAACACCAAGCCTGCCTTGAGAATTTGCAATTTAAATAAATCTTATTTTTAAAGATTTATTTATTATGTATAAAGTATTCTGTCTTCATGTATGCCTGCAGGCCAGAAGAGGACACCAGATCTCATTACAGATGGTTGTGAGCCACCATGTAGTTGCTGGGAATTGAACTCAGAGCCTCTGGAAGAGCAGTCAGTGCTCTTAACCTCTGAGTTATCTCTCCAGCCCACATCTTCTAAGAGACCGAGATGGTCTATATTGAATATTTAGATACTATATATGTATATAATGTTTATACATTATAATTATATAGTTAACAGTGACATTCGTACATATAGCATATGTTTTTATTACACAGATTTTAATGCAAGTTACTTATAAAATATAAAAGCTTGAAAAGTACAAATATAAGAGAAATTACAAAATGAAATAAACCTAGGCTTTATTTCCGGGGGGGGGGGGGTAAAGTGTGACCCACACAGGGAACGGCCCATGAGATGTCCTAGCAAACACCCGGCTTGCTCTGGCAGGGGCTACCCTGCTACTGCTGCACCCCTGGCCACCAACTTGGCGCGCCCTGTCTCCCCTTCTACTTTAAACCTGGGTGACTGACCCCTCTGTGTTTACAATCAGGGAGTTGAGGATGTGGGTGTACACAGCCTCGAACCTGTTTCCACAATGCACCCCTTCTACTAGCATGATCATTACGGGCATTGTGTGCCTCTCCAGATGTCTGTGGGTTTCATTTGCATTTCTACTGAGCCAAATAGCCAGTATGGACATTTCGTTGTTTTTTTTTTTAATTATTCGTTTATTGTGTATGCACTTGTCAGAAGAGGGCACCAGATCTCATTACATGTGGTTGCTGGGAAGTGAACTCAGGACCTCTGGAAGAGCAGCCAGTGCTCTTAACCTCCGAGCCATCTCTCCAGTCCCAGACATTTCGTTTTTGTTGCCAGTAATAATGTTCACAACAGGCCTTCCCAGCGGGTATGGAAGCTGGTAGTTCCTATTGCAGCCCTGGGTTGCTGTGAAATTGTGAAGTGTGTATTTGATCTTTTTTTCCCCCCTCCTTATGTGTTGTCACACAGCTCTTAAAAATCCTGGAACCTGGGGCTGGAGATATGGCTCAGTGGTTAAGAGCACTGGCTGCTCTTCCCAGAGGTCCTGAGTTCAATTCCCAGCAACTACATGGTGGCTCACAACCATCCATAATGAGATCTGGCGCCCTCTTCTGGCGTGTAGGCACACCTGCAGACAGAACACTGTATATATAATAAATAAAAAAGATCCTGGAACCTGCTAATTAATAAATGTCTTTTTGCATCTAATGAGTTGACCGATAGCTGCTCCCCCAGTAGATCCAGGAGTGGGCCTAATCACTGCAAAGACTAAGTGTAACCAGAGTTTTAGCAAAGCCTGGGCTGTGGCTGCCTCCACAAGCTAGGAGAGGCCGCCGTCCCCATTACACCGATTAAAGAGGAATGGTGAGATGCATCCAATGCAGTCACCCTGGGGAAAGGAATAGACAAAGTTCATCTTTTTTTTTTTTTTTCGAAACAGGGTTTCTCTGTGGCTTTGGAGGCTGTCCTGGAACTAGCTATTGTAGACCAGGCTGGTCTTGAACTCACAGAGATCCACCTGCCTCTGCCTCCCGAGTGCTGGGATTAAAGGCGTGCGCCACCAACGCCTGGCAAAGTTCATCTTTTTTATTAAAGTCTTTTTTTAAGCTAGTTTTATTTATTTATTATGTATACAGTGTTCTACCTGCATGTTTTGCCTGTACACCAGAAGAGGGCACCAGATCTCATTACAGATGGTTGTGAGCCATCATGTGGTTGCTGGGAATTGAACTCTTGACCTCTGGAAGAGCTGCTAGTGCTCTTAACCTCTGAGCCATCTCTCCAATCCCCCCCCCCCAAGTTCATCTTTAAGGCACAGATGTACGCTTTCTGTGTCAGCGGGGGAAGGGTTGCAGGAAGAGATAGGTGTGCATCTTGAGGAGTCGTGGTCCAGATTCATCTCCCTTGCTTCAGCTCTTGTTCTGCGTGGTGGTCTGAAAATGCTTTATTGCTTGAGGGGACAAGATGGCTTTCAAATGATGACTGTCCCTCTAGTGTGGTGACTGACCTCATCTAGGGGGTGTAGGGAGGATATGAGGGAATCTGTCTATGAGGCTTTGCTTCTCCCAACATCCAAGGTGGCTGCAGATGTAGATTTAGCTCTGTCTTCAGCCAAAGAAAAAGAGAGAGACACACCAGGGTTTCCTCCTGTCCTTATTCAGTGCTTTTTGGTTTTTTTTCCCCAAAAGCAGTTTCTAAATGCAAGTTCCAGGCTAATTGAGGGTATGAGTAAGACTATGTTGAAAAGAAAAAAACCTTCCAGGCGTTGGTGGCGCACGCCTTTAATCCCAGCACTCGGGAGGCAGAGGCAGGCGGATCACTGTGAGTTCGAGACCAGCCTGGTCTACAAGAGCTAGTTCCAGGACAGCCTCCAAACAATACAGAGAAACCCTGTCTCGAAAAACCAAAAAAAAAAAAAAAAAGAAAAAGAAAAAAGAAAAAACCCATAAACAAAAAATAAAGTCTAAAGTTCAGTGTTTGCTTCAGATGGCTGCACAGGACAGAGTCCTGGAGGGTGGCACCCCCACTCAAGTGTGACTTTTCACACCCCTCTCACCTCTGTCATTTCTCTGGCTCCTCAGAAGCCTCTGGGGTGTCACTTGTCATACACTGAGAAGTACAGTTAGCCATTTCCCAGAGTGCTGAAGCTACTCTAGGAGGGCCACAGCTCCAGGACAGGTCATAGAAACCCCTCTGTATGGTATGAGTAAAACAAGCTGGGCATTGTCATTGTCCCTGAAAGTGGAACATGGATCAGTCTTGTGCATCATGTCCAGATAGAGACTGTCATAGCTGACTTAGACAATGACCAGCTGGTGTCTGCCCACTACAGAATCCATCGGCTGCTTGGTGTATGGGCAAACTCATCACATCTTCTGCGTCAGCGTGGTGTAAAAGTGGAGTGGGGGGACAGTTTGTTCACCCCTTTAAACTCTGTCAACCTTGAAGTGGTTCTCACTATCCCACAGAGACTGCAGGAGCCATCTGCTTCCCTTGGGTGGTCTCTTAAGACCGTCTTGAGGAAGAGGATAAAGCTTCACTAAAGTGGCCATATATCATGCTTTAAAACTAGCACCTTGGACCTTGCTGATGCTTTGGTGATTGAGTTTCATGTTATTTGATTACTTACTATATTTTTTATGTGCATGTGTGTATGCCTGAGTGTGTGTATGTGTACCATGTGTGTGCAGATGACCACAGAGGCCAGAAGAGGGCACTAGAGCCCCTGAAACTAGAGTTACAGGCTGTTATGAGCCATTGTGTGGGTTGGGGAGGAGGGAGAAAAGAGAAGGTAGGGGAGAAAGAGGTATTTAGATTATACCACCAGGCTAGGGCCTGACCCATGGTACAGTCTCTCTGATATCTGGCCTTTTTTTTTGTTGTTGTTGTTTGTTTTGTTTTCCGAAACAGGGTTTCTCTGTAGCTTTGGAGCATGTCCTGGAACTCACTCTTGTAGACCAGGCTGGCCTCAAACTCACAGAGATCTTCCTGCCTCTGCCTCCTGAGTGCTGGGTGTTATAACAATACTCGTGGGGGACCTTGGCAGATTCCACGGTGAGGTAGAGCTTAAGTGAGAACTTTTATTAGAAGAGAAAAGTAAAGAGAGAGAGAGAGAGAGACAGAGAGAACAAGAGAAGAGGAAGATAGGAAAAGTCCTGTCTGCCCCAGAAAAGAGAGAGCATAAGTGGGCGGGGGTCTATCTTTTAAAGGATCCTTTGCATCTGCATGCAGAATAGTACTCCATGAACCCTGGGCTGACCAGGGTACTACCTGAGTGCATTCTGCCAGGTTACAGGGACAGGCCAGCATAATGCCTGAGTCCTCACACTGGGATTAAAGGCCTGCTCTACCACCGCCAGGATGATATCTGGCATTTAACACAGGCCACTTACTGTTATTACTTTGTGACCTGGGAAACTTGTCTGCTCTTTAAGGACAAATTTGTGACTGTTTATTTAGCTTAATGCTGCCAGGTTCATTTTCTTAAAACCATTTTCTCCGTCGGGCGTTGGTGCATGCCTTTAATCCCAGCACTGGGTCGGCAGAGGCAGGTGGATCTCTGTGAATTCAAAGCCAGCCTGGTCTACAGAGCGAGTTCTAGGACAACCTCCAAAACAATACAGAGAAACCCTGTAAGGTGATTCTAGAAAATTAGGTCAGAAAACACTGGTGCCTTTCCATTATTCTAACTTTTCCTTCAGTGAGCATTCACAGTAGGTCTTTTGCACAGACAGTGTGTACTTTTCCATTTGTGGAAGAAACAAGTCTTGTTGGGAACCTGAGACTCCCAGAAACCGTGACAGACACTCCCCGGTGAATACTTCCAGAAGCTGACCTTGTGGGCTGTCCGATTGATCCTTGCTTCTGAGCCAAGGTCAGCCCTGTGTGTGCTGTGCCGGTTTTCCCTTCCTAGACCAGGCAGTGAGGCGTAGAGAGCCTAGAGGGCCTCTCCAAAGCCAAAAATGTTCCAGAACTTTCTTCCTGGAAACACTAGTGCCTTTTTGGTAGACACCTGAAACAATGAACAATACCAATCCAAGCATCATTTTCCCTGGCCTGTCCACCCTTTCCAATGCTCAAAGTCACAAACTCACAAACTCTGGGAGCCTTGACTAAGACAGACGTGGAGTCAGAGCTCAGGGAATTGACCCCAGAGGAGAAGGAAGCTTCAGGTTCTGATTAACTTGGTTTTTTTTAACTACAGTTGAGTGACTTTTTTTTAGCTTACTGGAGGGTGCGAATTCAAAGATTAATAAAAACATTGAAGATGGCAGGAGAGAGACTGCTCTTGTAATTAGGCTCCCCATGAAATATCAGAAGAGCAGGCCAGCACAGGGACAGGCATGTACCTCTAATCCCAGCAACTCAGGCTGTAGCAGAATCACCGGCACTCAGAAGTCAGAAGACAACTCGAGCAGTGCTGCAAAGATCCTGTTTCTAAACAAAGCAAAACAGTGTGTCAAGGGGACAGAGCATTAGCGAGATTATGCAAATAAATACACAATCTTGTCCCTTTGGGGGGGGATAATTCTGCACTGCCCTCCTGTTTCCCAATTCGAGTTTAACATACACATTTGACGTGTTTTATTGTTAGCTGTATCTGATTTACCCACTGACTTTTGTCTCTGTTATACGTTCATTCTGTTGCTGTGACAAACACTGTGACCCATGTGGGGTTTGAATAAGAGTAACCCCACAGGCTCTTAGGTTTGAATGCTTGGCCACCAGAGAGGAGCATTATTGGGAGGGGTATTAGTCATGGTTCTCTAGATTAACAGAGTTTATAGAACAAATCTCTCTCTCTCTCTACACACACACACACACTCACACACACACATGTTATTTATTAAAATGACTTACAGGCTATAGTCCAGCTAATCCAACAATGGCTGCCTGTGAGCAGAAAGTCCAGGAATCTGGTAGTTGCTCAGTCTACAAGGAAGGCTTCAGTATCTGCTGGAATCCCGAAGAAGTAGACTCTGGTGCTAGTGACTGGATGACTATGCCAGCAAGGTGAGGACAAGCAGGCAAAAAGCAAAAGCTTCCTTCTTCCAAGTCCCCACACAGGTTTCCAACAGAGGGTGTGGCCCGGATTAGAGGTGGGTCTTCCTAACTCAAAGACCCAGATTAGAAGTGCATCACCCTGCTTCAAATAGGAAAAAGAATCCCTCGCAGTTGTGCCTTCCGTCTTATGTAGTCAAGCTGACAACCAAGAGTGTCCGTCACACAGTCCACCATTCGGGAAGCCAAGTAGGAAGTCAAGGGAGCCGTGGGGAAATGCTGCTTGCTGGTTTTCCCTCTCCGGTTGGCTTACTCACGGGCGCGTGCTTAGCTAGGTTTCTTATGTAACCCAGGACCACCTGCTCAGGGAATGGTGCCACCCGTAGTGGGCTGGCAATCCAGACAAGCCACCATGCGCATTACTGGTACTCTGGCAGTGCTGGTCTTCTTACCTGAGCGCTCCTAGGAATGCCATGGTGCTTCCAGAAGGAAGAAGCAAGCAGGGTTCCCGAAGGGAAGGCAGTTGGGATATGGGCAGGCATCTGGCAGACGTGGGGTTGCATCACAGAGGCCTGGAAGTGTCAGGGCAGGAGGGAGGGGGTGGAGCAAATAATCATCTTGAGTGGAACAAGGACTCCTATGAGTGGGAGTATTTGGTTTCCTGCTCTTAAGATAGAGTACTTACAGAGAATTGACTCCTTTTGGCAGTAGCAAACAGGGGAGGAAATCTAATTTCTCTATTTACGCTTGAGTTTTGGCAGTAGTGAAACCCCTGTGTGTGTGTGTGTGTATGTGTGTGTGTGTTCATGTGTGTGTGTGGATGCATGTGGAGGTCAGAGGTCAACAATGGGCACCTTCCTCCTCCTCTCAAGTTTTCCAGGCATGCACCTCCAAGCCTGGCTTCTCTCCAAATACTTTTTAACACTTTATTGTGTAATTGCTGTTGGGAGTGGGGCACATGCCACTGCGCATGTGTGGAGGTTGGGGAACCACTGTGTGGAGTTGGCTTTCTCCTTCCTTCCATCTTTACAAGGGTTCTGGAACAGACCAGGTTGTCAGGCCTGAGCGACAAACACCTCTACCCATTGAGCCATCTCTCTGGACTTTGCCATTTTTTTTTTAATGGTGTCTATCTTTCCCTTACTTGCCAGCACAGATGTGTCACCTTTTTGTGGGTTTGGCCATTTCAAAGAAATCCTCTTTTTCCCATGGACTCCAAGAGAAATTAGTACCTGACTGTTCAGTTTGTATCCCAAGCTGGTCACCGGGGCTTGTTGATGGGGTTCGTTGTTAATGCCTTTGATTGTGGAATTCACTCAAACCTGCGTTATCAGAAATTGGAGGGAAGGGTAACACTTTGCATGGCTCCTGTTGGGTGAGGGGAGCCTCCACACTTGGAGAAGAGGGTAAAGGACCTTGGAGTTGTTCTGCTTTGGGAAAATCTCTTTGGTGGCTGACACTGGGAGTCATGAACCTGTGATAGGCATCGCTCCTCTATACCCAGGTGGCTGTCTGAATTCCTCCCTTCCCTGTCTACTCAGTTAAGATAGAGCCATAACTTTTCTTGGGCTCTGGGGTCTGGGTGACCTAGGAGACCAGGCTTCACACTTTGGAGAACTTAGCTGGCCTCAGGATTGCCAGTTCTTCCTTAGAGGATGGCTCTGCTCCCAGACTAGCTTGCAGGCACAGAGGGCTCCTGGAGGCAGGACTCTGGGGTGGTCCCCATACTATCATTGGGCTGGCCACACCCAGTGGCCCTGGTTTCAACTGCTGAAGAGGTCAGCTTCTGAGCAACACAGCCAGCTACTCGAGCCCTAGAGGCAGGATGTTTGCATTAACAGCACCCGGGGAGATGTCTTCCTTTTGTTTTGTTGTTTTGAGACAGGGTCTCACTCTTAACTCTGACTGACCTGGAACTTCCTTTATAGACCAGGCTGGTCTTAAACAGAGATCTGCCTGCCTCTGCCTCCTGAGTGCTGGGATTGAAGGCCCAGTGCCACTATACCTGGCTTGTGGTGTCGTTTTCTGAGATGTCCATTCCTGGAAGTGAAGATGTTTGGGACATCTAGACGTGGTACTGAGAATGAATTGCACCTTGCCCTGTGTCACTCTCCTAGGGTGCTCCAGCACGAAGGCCCCAGGCAGTGCTGCTGGGGGCCGTGGGAAGCTTCTGGCCCGGGCTTTTTGAGTCTTGCCTAGGGACCTCCCACATCCTGGCTGTCTCAACAGCCTCGTCCTCCCATGCTGGGCTTAGCAATTCCTGGGAACGTTCTAGCCCAGCGTTTGTCTTTTCGCTTTTTGCTAACTCTAGGGACCTTCCTGGGATTCTTTTTTTTTTTTTTAAACTATTATTATTTCGAAATAGTCAAGGCTACACAGAGAAACCCTGTTTTGGAACCCTCTCTGTAGACCGAGTTGGTGTTGAACTCATAGAGATCTGCCTGCCTCTCCTGCCTCTGGGGTGCTGGGATTAAAGGTGTGCGCCACCACTGCCTGGCCGTTCCTAGGACTCATAACACTGAGAGCCGGTGATGAAACTGGCCTCATCCGGGGCAGTTGTGGGCCTGGATCCCCCTCCGCCTCTGAGCTCTCCGCCTTCCACAAAGGGTTAAGTCTAAGAACATGGTAAGAGGACAAGAGGTTCACGGGAAACCAAACTGGTTCCGCTGTGTGAGCTGGCCCTATAGTCTCAGCAGCTGAGGGAACTGAGGGTGGAGAATGCAGGGGCAGCCTGGGCAACTTATAAAGACTGTTTCAAAACTAGGGAGGCAGCAGCAAGCAGATTTCTGGGAGTTTGAGGCTAGCCTGGTCTACATAATGAGTTCCAGGTCAGCCAGAGCTACATGAGACCTTGTTTCAAAAATAAAAGATTTAAAAAGGGCTGAGGATACCGGGCATTGGTGGTGCACACCTTTAGTCCCAGCAATTGGGAGGCAGAGGCAGGTGGATCTCTGTGAGTTAAAGGACAGCCTGGTCTATAGAGCGAGTTTCAAGACAGCCTCCAAAACACTACAGAGAAACCCTGTCTCGAATCCCCCTCTGCCCCCCAAAAAAGGGCTGGGGACATAACTCGATACGAATGCTCACTCAGCACACTCAAGGTGCTAAATGCAACCCCCGCCAGTACTGAAAAAAAGCACAACAGAAAAGCTGTGAGGATTGTGTGTGCATGCCAGGGTACCTGGGTTTCCTCATTTATTGCCCCAGGGAGAACAATAACTAACTACCATATGGTTCCTGGATGGAACCCTGGCCCTAGTACAACATAGTTGTAGCAAAAGAACTTGAATGTATGAATGAAAGTCTTGGATAAATCACTTGTTTCTAAGTCCATGTGGGGGAATTCCCACCAACAGACACAACCAGCGTGCAGGATCTGAGCCCAGAGTCCAGACTCACGGAATGAATACTTGTGTGACAGCAGCTCCAGGTCTGACATGTTCTGCCCTTCCTGGTGATACCCTGAGAACCAAGGGGGCAGAGTCCTGTTAGTTGGGGGTTTTGTTGTTGTTTTGCTTTTGTCAACTTGACACAACCCACAATTATCTGGGCAGAGGAACCTTGATTGAGAAAACACCTCCCACATATTGCCGGTGGCTAAGTCTGTGGGGGTATTTTCTTGACTAATGATTGATGGGCTCAGCCACCCTTGGGCAGGTGTTCCTCACTGGTCCCTAGAAAGCAGGCTGGGCAAGATATGGGGAATAAGCCTGTGAGTAGCATTCCTCCCTGGCTTCAGTTCCTGCCTCAGTTTCCCTCAATAGACTGTGACCAGGGAGGGATGTGTAAGCCAAATAAACTCTTTCCTCCCCAAGTTGTTTTCTGTCATGCTGTTTTATCACAGCAATAGAAAAACAAACTCCAGAGGCAGGGTAGATCTCACTTTATAAATAGCGCCGCTGTCTGCTAATTGTAAGAGACCCTAGCCAGGACTGCCTATGCTCATCTCAGATCATTCTGCTGTTCTAGGGCTCCGTGGTAGGGAGATGCCTTAATCCCTGGCCTCCTGCGAGAGCAACCAAGGTGTCTCCACCTCAAAGCGTTCCAGCCGCTACTATTCCTTCCTCCTCCCCAGACCTGGGGTATTAACGCTTAGGGACTGTGCAGTGGTACAATGGCCCCGCCCCATCCCCGGGATGCTCCTCCTCCGACCGCGCCCCGCCCCGCCCCGCCCAGCCTGGTCGCCCTCTCCAGCCCGTTGTTCAGCCCCGCCCCGGACCGCGCCCCTCCGCCGATGCCGGGCTCGCTCGCTCACTCAACCGCTCACTCACCGCCACCCCGGGCGGGCTGCACACGGCCGCCAGGAGGCTGGCGCCCTCCGGTCACTCCGGGACCCTCCCGCTGTATCCCCTGGGCAACTGTCTCCAGGGAGACGGAGCCCGCCCCTGCCACCGACACCGGGTACGAAACCCACCTGTGCGGGCGTCTGTGGGGTCCCTGTGCCTCCCCACTCCCACTGGCCAGATGCTCTGCCCCGCCCAGAACTGGGCTTTGTCGGCCTGGCTTTGGGAGGGCAGGGTAGGAGGTCATCAGGACTCCAGGGTGGAGGGGCTTGGAGGCAGGAGCATCGGAGGCAACTGCACCCCACTGGAGAGGCCGACCCTTACGTAGGGTCGCGCCTGTCTGAGATTCCCTGGGGTGTGTGTGTGTGTGTGTGTATGTGTGTGTGTGTGTGTGTGTGTGTGTGTGTGTGTGTGTGGTGGATAGAGTACTGAGTTGCATCTTTTTGTGGCTCTCCGAGGCTGGAATCCTGGGTGTGTCTTCGGCTGCCCTTGATGGGATGAGCCGGACCCCCCCAGTGTGTTCCTGCGAAGACAAGGACGGGCTTGCTTAGGGCGAGCTGAGCTGTTTACTTCTCAGGAACCGAAGCAGTTCAGTGCGCGCTCCCGGTCATCCCCCCCCCCGCCCTCCCCCATCCCTGTCCCCGTTTCCCAACCTAGCAGTCAGTCCTTCCATAGCTTTGCCCTTGAGCCAAGAGGGGCTAACAGAAGTCATACCCAGGCCTGGAGATCCTGTTTATCTTCTGCCAAGAGACTTACTCCTTTCTACAAAACCCTGGTGCATTTTCTCCCTGGCTCCTTGTCTCCCGTCCTGAATTCCTGAAGATGCAATCCTGAGCTCCATCATGCTTTCTGCTCTGTGTTTCCCGTTTTCAAAGCGCTTTCTTTCCGTACTTTTCTTCAGGTTTCCCCGGGTCCCGTCCCATTACTGTTTGCTATTTTCACTGGTCAGCATGTTAAGTTATTTCTTCTTTTAGTCTTTGGCCAATGCTTCGGGTGGCTCTGCTGAGAGTTTCTTGGAAAGCCCCAGTGATCCTCCCTGGATGCTGAGCTGAAGGGAGGCTGTATCCACACCCACCCAGGCTCCAGCCTCCTGCAGCAGGGTCGCTGAGCATCCTTCCACGGTCTGTGCTGGCAGACTAGAGGACTTCCGCTTGGGCCCTACAGGACGCACTGCTTCTAGTGGACTCTTAAGGGCTTTGCTTTTGTCTTACGGAGAGGCCAGTAATTTGTGAGTTTGTTTTGTGTATCTGCACCAGCCCTTCCCTCTCAAGTCGCCCCACTGAACAAGGTGCCTGGGACGGGGTGTGTGTCGTTCCTCCTAGGTCAGGTTCTTGGTAGGGGTGCCTGCTCTTCTCACAGCCCTCCTCTTCATCTGTAACCCAATAGAGATGGCTTTTCCTTTAGGCTTGGCTTTGAAAACAGATTTACATGGGGAGTCAAGGTCTAAAGTTCAGGAGCCTACTTTTTTTTTTTTTTTTTTGCAACCATGAGATGACATTCAAACTCAGTCACGGCTCAGATCGGCTCTAAGAAAAGGCAATCCAAGTCACCTGTATGCACATCCCTACTTTAGGTTGGGAAATGCTTCCGTACCACCAAAGGGAGCTGGGGTGGCATCCCCATGGGCAGTGAGAAAGGCCATCCCAGCAAAGTGGGGTTGGTTTGAAGAAGGGAAACAGAGATGAAATGGCCCCCTTCAGTGCTGGGGGCTTTCTGCATGTTAGGCAAGCACTCCCACTGAGCTATATCCACTGCCCTGAGATACATCCCGGACTAGAATGCACTGGTTTCTGAAATTCTGAGTCTCAAATGCTCTTTCTCTTTTCAGTCTGGTCAGAGCATGAGTTGCTGAGAGTCCGGCAAAGGCGGGATGAACTTCACTGATGGCAAAGCAGCTTTAACCTCCCAGGCAGAAGGGCGGAGGCTACTCGTCTTTCTTGGCCCATCCCAACAAGGTAGGTTGGGGGGGGGTGATATGTAGAGGAAGGAAGAGATACTGTGTTACAGATAAGAATGTTGAAGAAAATCGGCCCTCTCTGACTTGTCCCTGGGACTAATGAGCGTTCTCATAGGAAGAGAATAGAATGGTGGCTGGGGTGTAGCTGGGTGGCAGCATTAAGGAGGGACTTCAGTGTCTACAGAGCCTTGGATGGTCACAAGATCAAGGTGTAGGATTCTCTTTTGAGTTTCTGGGCCATTGACTTGGGAGAAAAATGCTGTATGTTTCGGTCCTCAGTTTGTGGGACTGTTTGGGAAGGATTAGGAGATGTGGCCTTCTTGGAGGGGTGTGTCACTGGGAGCAGGCATTGAGGTTCCAGAAGACTCAGTTCATTCCTAGTGTCTCAAGATGTGTGCCCTCAGCTTTCCGAACACTGTGTCTGCCAGCCCACTGTCACGCTGCTCGCCATTGTGGTCATGGACTCTGCCCTCTGAAACCATGAGCCCCAAATCTACTCTCCTATAACTAGCCTTGGTTATGGGGTCTTGCCACAGCAATAGAAGAGTAGCTAAGACACCCGCCATCCAGGCAACAGGCGGCTGGGTGTGGTTACTGAGCTCTGTGATGGAGAAGTCTGGGGTCCCCTTGCAGTCTTTGTGGGTATATGATTATTCCTTGTGCACGGAGAATATCTGCCTGAGTAGTTGCTGTCATTAGATCAGTCAGGGCCCGTGCCATGGGGGAAGTTTCCCCCAGCCTCGACCTCATCATCTCTAGGTCTTTCTTGTTGCTTGCTAAACCTCTTTGTTGGCTGTGATCTCTTTCAAAATTAAACTATTAAGCAAAACTTTAAAGTTAGAAGTATGTAGAAACAGAACTCTCACGGTGAAAACTTAGTTTCCAAAATGCCTTAAATTTTTTTACACTTGTTATCATTGTGCCAGTTGGGCACACTTCTGCCATGATGGTGTATGTACAGAGGTATCAGAGGGCAATTTTTGGGAGTTGTTTTTCATTTCATCTTTATGTGGCTTGAGAGGGGTGAACTTGGGTGACTGGTCTTGGCACAGCAAATACTTTTACCCTTCATCTCCATGGCTCAGGAAATACCTTTAATAATAATTTTAGCACACGCCTTTAATTCCCAGCACTGGGGAGGCAGAGGCAGACAGATCTCTGTGAGTTTGAGGCCAGACTGGTCTACAGGGCAAGTTCCAGGACATCCGGGGCTACACAAAGAAACCCTGTCTCAAAAAACAATCATTAGCAACAAAAGCATTTTTTATGTGTACAAATGTTTGCCTGCATATATGTATGTGTACCATGTGATTGCAGTGGACATGGAGGCCAGAAGAGGGCAGTGGATTCCCTGAAACTGTAGTTCTACACCCTCGTGCAACTATGCAGCCATTCCAATATGAACTCTCACAGTGGCTGTGGTTACCCACAAGAGTAAGCCTGACAAACATGCTCCACCACACCTCGTTTATGCAGGGCTGGGGACCGAACCAGGGCTTCATGCTTCTAGTCAAGCACTCTGCTGACTGAGCTATATCGCCCCCTGCTACCTCAGTTTTAATTCGCAAGAGCACTTTGCCTCTCCTTTTAAAACAGCCATGTGGTAATTAACCCTGGTTTCCTTTGTCTGTCTGTCTGGGTGGTTCCGGCTAAGAACTTACCTGCACAGGACCATCCCAGGCTGCCAAGTCAAATGTAGGAGCAAGGCTCTGTACCGGCTCCTTTTGTTTTATTGTGACAAAGTATCTTGCAGAAATGGTTTAAGAAGGGAAGACTTACTTTGGCTCAGTTCCAGGGCGTCTCAGTCTCTGTGCCTCCATTTTATTCCTGTTTGGAGGTAGGGTCTCACTATGTAGCCCAGGCTGACCTTGAACTCATAACCCCCCTGCTTCTTTCTGCCTCTTGGGTGCTAGGATTATAGGTGTATGCCATCATGTCTGCCTAACTTAAGACATTTTTAGATAGGAATTTTCAGATATATGATGGAAGTGACGGAAGAAAGTCTTCCACTAATGTAAGGAAAACAAGGAGTGTCAATCAGGCGTCATTCCTGTCAGGCGTCATTCCTGTCAGGCGTCATTCCTGAATGTCAGTACTGGGAAGGCTGAGCCTAGAGGTCAGTCTGGGCTACAAAGCAAGAAGAAAAACTGAACGCAAATGGAAACAATGTACAAGTGTATCTATTTCTCATTAGGCTTGGCTGCCCAATGGCTTTCAGTGTTTCAAATGCTATTCTCTGTTTGAGAAAGACTGGAAAACATCACTGTTTTGTTTTCAGTCACTATGACTAAATACCTGTGGCAGGCTGCTTATATATAAAGGGTGTTTATTCTGTCTGTAGTCTTGAGGGGCAGAAGGTCCAAGGTCCAGTTGCTCAGTTGTTGGTTCAGACTCCAAGCCTGATGAGTGGCTTTGAGGCAGGAACAAGATCAGGAGAGGGAGATCCTGGCGCTGAAGTGGACTGGAGAGTGAGGGGCAGGGCTAAGCTCTCCTTTCCTGGCCGTTTCTCTGAGGATCTAGGATTTCCGGGTTTCCTACCATATTCCTAACACCTAGTCCCTGTTTTACCCATCATGCTGGCCCCTTCACTCAATGAGACTTCCCTTTAATGTGGCCTCACCCATGGATCATTCCATCCCGTCCTTCCATGCACAGGACACCTCCCTACAAGTCCCTTTTTGTTACAGTCCAGCTCTTTGGCTCTATGAAATCATCCCGTGGTGGTTTTCCATATAGGTTGGTCATGACTGAGAAATGGACACCTTGGTTTGAAGGGCTTTCTTGAGGTTGAGGGGCTCCTACAAATAGGCCGCTTGCCAGCATTGCCACACAAGTATCTTTGCGTGGTGGCTTCTCTGCTCATGGTTGAGGTGGATGCCAGTTTCAGATACATAGCTTATGCGTAGCCACCTTCTAGAAGTTTCTGTGACTCAGATCTTGAACTAATTAAATTGTTGTTTTGACTCTGAAATGCAGGCTTTGGACAGATGGCTTATCTGTGGGCTCAGTGTTCTGTCACTCCACAGACATGTAGGGATGGCTCCCTGGGGAGTCTTTACACCCTTGTTCTAGGGTGACTCTGAGCCCCTTTGCAGTGGCACTGAAGGAGCCCCATGTAGCTTTCCCAGGGCTCCCTGCCTCAGGGAGAAAGATGGTTATCACCCAGAGAAGCAGGATACTACTTCCCTTCTTTTCCATGTCGCCTGTCCCCAGTGTGGCCTGGTGAGGTGACTCATCCGTCCCAGCTCATGACTGCAGGACCCCAAAGATTGTCTTTATGTTGACAAAGACTGGGGAAAATCAGCCATATTTGTCATGGACTCCAGTAAGAGGTAGAATTTAATAGTTCAGAGATCTGGCACTGAGAGATCTGGGAGAGGTTCATAAGAGCGGCAATGAACGGAGTTCCCAGGGCAGCCAGTGCTGTTACACAGAGAAACCCTGTCTTGAAACCACCTCCTCAAAAGGCAGAGAACTCCCCAGGAGCAACAAGTTTGAGCCAAGACTCCAGCCATCTGGGCACTCCTTGCTTGTACGCTTCTCTAAAGTCTCCTGGGGTCCCTGAAGTATTCCTGGGTGCTGATGGCAGCCCAGGTATGTCTGTTAAAGTCTTTGTAGAAAATTCTCCTGCATCTGTTGTGTTCTCTGAAGTCTCCTGGGGTCCCTGAAGCGTCCCTGGATATTGATGGTAGCTCAGGTATGTCTGTTAAAGTCTTCTTTGTAGAAAATTCTCCTGGATCTATTGTGTTCTCTGAAGTCTCCTGGGGTCCCTGAAGCATTCCTGGGTGCTGATGGTAGGAGCCCAGGTATGTCTGTTGAAGTCTTTGTAGAAAATTCTCCTGGATCTATACATGTGTCCACATGCATGTACACAGATGTGTGTGGAAGTCAGAGGACAACCTCAGGTCTTTTCCTAGGAAGGCTTCCACCAACGGTTTCCCCAGATAGACTTCCCCAGCCGACCAGTGAGCTCAGGGTTCACAGTCTCCCCCTCCCATTCCATGTTGCCAGCTCTGGTATTATAAGTTTTCGCTATGCCCAGATTTTTATGTGGGGTCTGAGGAGGCCTCCGGTTCTCAAGGCAAGAGCCTTACAGGCTGTGCCTCTCCCCAAACCCCATTTCTGTTGGACCTTTAAGACTCAGAGGTCAGAGCACTGGCTGTTCTTCCAGAGGACCCAGGTTCAATCCCCAGCACCCACAGGGCAGCTCACAACTGTCTGTAACTCCAGTTCTAGAGGGGATCTGACACCTTCACACCAATGCACATAAAATAAAGTTAAAATAATAATAGTTATTACTTAATAATAATAATAATAAAGACTGTCCCTCTTGGGCCAGAGAAGACTGGTTGGGGACATCCAGGAAGTTGACAGGAGACTCGTAAGTCTACCACAGTGCTGTCTCATAGCTGATTTTGTGGCCCACGTGGCACAAGCTGGAGAGGTTGAAAGAACGGAACCAGTCCTGTCCTGTGACGTTTCCCTGACACTTCAGAATGACTTCGGTATAGACAGAGAAGCCAAGATGAGTGTCTGAGATTTGGGTATTGTTCATGCTGTCTCGCAGTGACACCTCCCCAAGTGACTTGGGACAGTCCTGACCCTCACTGACTCTCTGCCTAAACTGTTTCACCTGCCTTCCTGGCTCATCATCTGAGGGCCGCACGGGGCAGAACTCGTCTGTCAGAGGCAGCCGGCTTGCGAGGCGGGAACTTTCTAAACAGGAAGAGTGACAGGGGAAGGCTTCACTCGTGGAAAAAGATTCTTCTTGAGGGAGGTGTGGGAGAAACCAGCTGATGAGGTGTAGGGGTGGTCCACGGGTAAGGGAGTGAGAGCCGTGCAAGCCTGACGGCTTGAGTGCGGGTCCTCGGAAGCCGTGTACAATGTCGTGTGCAGTGGGAACCGGAGAGATGGGAAGGAGACGTCACTGGCCGCCAGCTCCATGGTGAGGAAGCTTGGAGCACTGCAGTGCAACAGACACAAAAGACAAATAAATAAATAATCGAACAAGTGTAATTAATTGTTTTAATGACGGGCTTCCCCGTGTCTAGCTGGCTGGCCTAGAGCTCGATATGTAGACCGGGCTCAGAGGTTCATCCATCTCTGCCTTCTAACTAATTAAAAAAATAAAACAAAAACAAAAACAAGCAAACAAACTCCAAAGCTATACAGAGAAACCCTGTCTCGGGGCCGGAGAGATGACTCAGTGGTTAAGAACATTGACCGGTCAATTCCCAGCACCCACATGGGAGCTCACAACTATCTAACTCCAAAATCCGACACTCTCACACAGACATATGTACAGGCAAAAACAATACACATAAGCTAAAAATAAATTAAAAATATAAAAGAAAAAGAAAAAAATCAAGCCCAATTCAAATGCTGTAAATTAAAACAAAACCCCTGAAAAGAGCAGAACTAGCTGTTTGTGTGGCTGAATCCAGGGCCACAAAGGTGTCCTGGGGTAGGGGTGGGGGTGGTGGCGGTGCTTGGAGGACAGAGAGCTGACTCAGCACTTAAGTGACTACTGTCTTACGGCAGGTCAAGTTCAGTCTCCAGCACCCATGTCAGATGATTCCTAATTGCCTGTAAGTCCAGGTCTGGGGGATCTAGGCCTCCAAGGACTCTGGCATTCATGTGTTCATACCCAGCACAGCCATGCGCACATACCCATACTTTAATATTCAGAGAGAGAGAGAGAGAGAGTCTCAGCTCACTCCCCAGCATTACAGAAGCGGGATGATGGTGCATGCCTCCAGACTCAGTGCTCAAGGGACAGAGATGGAGGATGAAACCCCATGGGAGCACACACACCGGGGCCGCAGAATGTCTTGTCTTTTGAGACAGTGCCTCATGCGTCCCAGGCTAGCCTTGAACTCGTATGTATTTGTTTTCATCCCCAGCTTCTGTAGCTCAGCTTTCTGCCCATGAGGTTCATTGTCGTCATTTTGTGTGTCCGTAGGTCTTCATTCGTCCTTGCTGCTACCCGATTGTCCGTTGGGAAAGGACAGGTTGCATTCTACACCAATCTGTACCCAAGAAGTGTCCTGTGGGGCGGCTATTCAGTGATGCTTCAAACTCTGTCATGTGTGTCTTTGGCAGTGTCTGTACTCGAGTTCTGTTGGGTGTGTGCCTGGGCATGGACTATGACTGGCTTGGTCCTGGGGCACAGGCGGGCTCTGCTCCAGTAGAGCCTGACAGTTTGCCTCGACGGCTGTACCACTGTGCATTCTTGGGATAGTTGTGGACCTGCTTTTCTTTTTGTCACATCCTCCTGGAAAGGGAAGGTTCTACACTTCTCCCAGGGAAGAGAGAAGGGGTTCCCCCTTTCTCCTGTCTCCATGATGGGCCGTGAGTACCACGGGGTCTTCCCCATGGTTGACTGAGGTTGTCGATGACTTCACTCCCTGGCACCAGCTGGGTAAATGCAGGTGAACCCTTCCTTTTCACGGAGCCGAGGGACAAGAGCATAAGGTGTTCGCTTTCCTCAGATCCAGACCTTTAGGAAGGCTCCTCAGAAACGCAGGCCTCTGTGTTCACGTGACCAGAAGCACCCTGATTCCTGACTGCACCCCTCCCCCGTTTTAACTAAAAAAAGGAAGACTCTGGCCTCAGAAAGAGGAACCCCAAGTAGGACGCGGTTTCACACTCAGAGGAAGTGGCTACCAGCAGCAGCGGGGGTGGCCCAGGAGGCAGCCTGATGCTGGAGCAGCTACTGTCCAGTGAGTTAGCCCAGCCCAGTCAGTACCGCCATCTAAAGGGTAACTCTCAGAAACCAGACGTGTCATTTAAGTCCGGAAGAATGTGACCTTGTGGTGGGCACGGAAATGTTCGGTTTTGTTTTGGTATTGGACTCTGGTTCATGGCCTCAGGCATGCTAAGCATGGTATTCTTACCCTCGGCCACACCCCCTCAACTCAGAAGTCTCTGTCTCTGTCTCTCTGTCTCTCTCTGTCTCTCTTGAGACATGGTCTCATGTAGTCCAGGCTGTCCTTGAACTTGCAATGTAGTAACTGAGCTCCCGATCTTCCTGCCTCTGTCTGCCAAGCACTAGGGTTACAGATGCCCATAACCAAGCCCAGTCTGTCCATATGGTGCTGGGGATTGAATGCAGGGCTTTGTGAATGCTGGGCAGGTACTCTACCAACGGAACCACACCTCAGCCTAGAATCTCGAGATCTCTAAGAGTAAGAATAGGCTGGGTGGCCGGGCGGTGGTGGCGCACGCCTTTAATCCCAGCACTCGGGAGGCAGAGGCAGGCGGATCTCTGTGAGTTGGAGGCCAGCCTGGTCTACAGAGCAAGTTCTAGGACGGGCTCCAAAGCCACAGAGAAACCCTGTCTCGAAAAACCATCTTGGAAAGTGGTGAATAAATTTTGCTTGTCGAAGCATTAACCCTTCTGCTTACTGTTTAGCCTGAAACTGGAAATCATGGCATCCCCCACCCCCACCCTAGACTGTGTGGTGGGGGCAGCAGAAAGAATGTGCAAACCCGAGGTGGGGCGCGGGGATGAGAAGTGCTGTGAAATGATGTTTTCTCGATATGACGTGGTTGCTGTATCTATGAACGCACAGCCACAGCCAGTTCCTTGCATGAGACCTGCACAAGACTGGGCCTGTCTGCATCCCATCACGCCGGGCAGCGAGGCCGGAAGACGCACTAACCTGGAAGTTTAAAGCACGTAGGAAGTCCCAGGGATTGCTTGTGGATACACACACACACCAGTGATGAGAGCCTGAGAACATGTATGCGAGTGATGAGTGGCTGGGTTCCAGACTGGTGACCTAGAAGGGGAGAGCTGGCAGTGGTGGGGAGGGATTTGGTGGCCAGGGGGGCAGGTGGCACACACACTCCTGTGTCCTGTTATGTGTAGTGTTTTGTTATTACTGTGGCGCTGTGGTGGGGGCAGGGGATTACAGAGGAGGTGGCATGACAGATATTGTGAGATCTTAGATAAAGTTGTTTATGCTCCCTGTCTCTCTCTCTCTGCCCCCCTGCCCCCCCTGTGTGTGTGTGTGTGAGATCTCACGGACCCCAAGCTTGAACTCCTCCTCATCAGCACCTTTTACCTCCTGAGTATTGGAATTGTAAGCAGGCCTGACTAGTTAAAACTGTTTTTAAGCTAATTGGTTCCTGGTTAGAAAGTTTCTAAGAGTTGCAGACTTTGGTCTTCATTTCTCAAATGTCTGGCCTTTTCTTCCTGTGTCCCCCTCTGGGTTATCTGTTGACTGTAATGTGGTCTTTTGGCCTATGGCAAGTCCACTTGTCATGAGAGTTACCTCAGCCCAGAGAGTGGTCTAAGGCAAGCTTTGTGTGCCCCCTGCAGCCCAGGTCTGGCCATCTCACTTTCCAAAGTCCCTGTCCCCCACAGCAGGGCCTGCTCATTCTGTCTGCCTTTCCCTCAGGACAGCGGGTCTCCGAGCAGTAAGGCAACAGAATGCCCCCTGGGGTGGACTGCCCCATGGAGTTCTGGACCAAAGAGGAGAACCAGAGCGTGGCTGTTGACTTCTTGCTGCCCACGGGGGTCTACCTGAACTTCCCGGTGTCCCGAAATGCCAACCTCAGCACCATCAAGCAGGTACGGCCTCCACCTTAGGTCAGTCCTCAGACTGTGATGTTTACACACAGAAACCCTGAGTGTAAACTGTGCATGTGTGTGTCAGTCAGAGGGTAGCCTGGGCTATTATTTCTCACATGCTGTACACCGTGTTTCTGTTTTCTTTGGGTTTTTGGTACAGGATCTCATTGGAGTAGGCTAGGCCATCTGGCCAGCGTGTCAAAAGGAGGAACCTTCTCGGCTTCTCAGCATTGGGATTACAGAAGAGTCTCTGCACACCCCACTGCTGTTTTGTTTTAAGACTTACTTATTTTGCTGGGTACATGCTTTTAATCCCAGTGCTCAAGAGGCAGAGGCAGGAGGATCTCTGTGAGTTCAAGGCCAGCCTGGTCTACAAAATGAGTTCCAGGACAGCCAAAGCTGTCACGCAGAGAAACCCTGTCTTGAAAAACAAAACAAGGCTGAATTGTTTTTATTTTATGTGTATCCACTGTGTGTGAGCCTGGTGCCTGCCACGGGCTAGAATAGGGGTTTGGATCCCCTGAAACTGAAGTCACAGATGGTTGTGAGCTGCCATGTGGGTGCTGGGAACTGAACCCAGGTCCTCTGGAAGAGCAGCCAGTGCTCCTAACCGCTGAGTCACCTCTCCACCCCCCCCCTTAATTGTGAATTCTGAGGAATTGACTCAGGTGAAGTGGTCGTCTTCACCCTCAGCCCTCAGATGTGAATTTTACAAGATAAAATTTCTAAGAATTGTTTAAAAACCCGTGGTTAAACTCCACTTATCATCCCAAAGCCAGCTTCCCCTTTGTCAGCAAGCATTTCCCGTCACTAGATTACTAGATTTCGAGCCAGTGTCGAGGCTGCCTCTCTCTGGCTGGGCTCTCATCCCACCCATGACTGTTTGGTCACTTTTGGAACCACTCTATTTACAGTGCTTAAGGCCTTGTGGCCTACCCCTAATTTGAGCTGTCACCACCACAGTGAGCACAGTTGTTAAAAAGGGTTTGGTTTTTTGTTTTGTTTTTGGTTTTTCAAGACAGGGTTTCTCTGTATTGTTTTGGAGACTGTCCTGGAACTTGCTCTGTAGATCAGGCTGGCCTCGAACTTACAGAGATCCGTCTGCCTCTGCCTCCCGAGTGCTGGGATTAAAGGCGTGTGCCACCAACGCCCGGCAGGGTTTGGGTTTTATTTAATCATTTTCAGGGTGATTTTTTTGAATCAAAGCACAGCACACACGTGGATTGCATTTGGTAGTTGCTGTCTGTGACTTGGAAAGGGCTTGTGTAACCCACTAAGTGTGGCATTTACTGGGTTAGGATTTCAGCTACCAAAGGTTGAGACCTTACCTCAGAATTTTTGTTTTGTTTTGTTTTTTAGACAGGACTTCTCTGTGTAACAGAGCCCTGGCTATCCTGGAACTGTCTGTAGACCAGGCTGGTCTTGAATTCACAGAGATTTCCTGCCTCAGCCTCCTAAGTGGTGGGATTGAAGGCTTGCACCACCACGTCCAACTCTTACCCCAGAATTTTAAAAGCCATGAGGGGAAAGCAGGAAAGCCAGCTAAGAAATAAGAATTATTTCTGCGATCTCCCTGCTTTCCCGAGCAATTTCCTTTAATAGTAATTTCTCCCACTAAGGAAACAATAGAGACACATTAAAATGTCGGAAAATAAGAAAAAGGACGTTGGTGCAGGCGTTGGTGGTGCATGCCTTTAATCCCAGCACTTGGGAGGCAGAGGCAGGTGGATCTCTGTGAGTTCGAGGCCAGCCTGGTCTACAGAGTGATTTCCAGGACAGCCTCCAAAACAATACAGAGAAACCCTGTCTCGAAAAACAAAACAAAACAAAGAAAAAGGACGTTGGGAGTGTAGCTCATTTAGTTAGGGAGCTTGCCTAAAATGCATGCTGTCCTGGCTTCAGTTCCCAGCACATCATAAACCAGGTGTGTTCATACACACCTGTACTCCCCAGCATTGGGAAACTGGTAGTTCAGAAGCTGTGGGTCGTCCTCAGCCACACAGTGAGTCTAAGGACATTCTGTCCTCCTGTCTCAAAAAAGGAAAGGCAGTCTGGCGAGATGGCTCCTCTAAATTATCCTCTGACCTCCACATATGTACCAGTATATGTGTTCTTAAAACATAATAAACAAACAAACAAATGATACCTACAAATAGGGAAAGAGGAGAAATAACAGTACCTATGACTGGGCCATATGAGTCAGTTACTGACAATATCCAGACTAGTTCCTGGTTTTGTCTTTTAATTAAAAATCTTAGGTTTTCTTATTTGTTTGTGTGTGTGTGTTGCATGTTTGTGTGTGCGCCATGGTATGCATTTGGAGATCAGAGGACAGCTTGCAGGAATCTGGCATCTTCTTCTATCATGTGTGTTCTGGGGACCAAGCTTGGGTTGTCAGGCTTGGTGACAAAGCGTGTGTGTTTACCTGCTGTGTCACCTCGCCGGCCCCCAACTCATGTTGTGCCTGTGCTCTGAGTCTTAGGACAGTTCTAGTGATAAGCTTTTGTATCTCTCTCTTTTTAAAAAGATTGTTTTAATGTGTATGGTTTTTTTGCATGTAAATATGTGTGTGTACCGTGTGTGTGCTTGGAGCCCACACAAGCCAGTGGAGGGTGTTGGGTCCCTTGGGACTGGAGTTGGGGGGTGTGAGCTGTCATGTGGTTGCTGGGAACTGAACCCAGGTCCTCTGCAAGAGCAACCAGAGCTCTTAACCTCGGAGCCGTCCCTCCAGCCCCTTGTATCTCCTTTTTTCCGAATGGACATTGTAGCACCTTGACGTTGGCTATAAACCTGATATAAATACACTCTAGTCTGGCAGTTCAGGCCTGTGGTCCCAGCACTTAGGAAGCAGAGGGAGGGGAATGACAAGTTGATGACTAGCCGGGTCTACAAAGTGAGTGATCGTAGTGATAGCCATAGTAATCATCTGGGGGTGTTCAAAAGTCACACCTGGTTGTCCCTCTGCATGGCCAAAGGTCATCCATGAACGCCACGGAGGAGATGTAGGACCCACTGCCCTGCCCCCAGTCTCGGCAAACGCAAACGCTGACACCCCGCGCAGAGAGCAGAGGCAGGAAGTTTCTTGGCATGTGTCCAATCCTCGGGGTGTGAGCCTTTGTCTTCTTGGGGTCTCCTTGTGTCTCCGGGGGTGTCTTGGAGAGGCTCACTGTGACCCTCTCTCGCAGGTGCTATGGCATCGTGCACAGTACGAACCTCTCTTCCACATGCTCAGTGACCCTGAGGCTTACGTGTTCACCTGTGTGAACCAGACTGCCGAGCAGCAGGAGTTGGAGGACGAGCAGCGGAGGCTGTGTGACATCCAGCCCTTCCTGCCAGTCCTGCGCCTGGTGGCCCGCGAGGGTGACCGTGTGAAGAAGCTTGTCAACTCCCAGATCAGCCTTCTCATCGGCAAAGGTATGCTTGCTGGGGGCTCGAGCTGCCTAGGCTGACCCCGGTGGCCTGGGGTCGCGCTGACATCCTCCTCCCCCCATGTCCCCGAAGGTCTCCATGAGTTCGACTCCCTGCGGGACCCAGAGGTGGATGACTTCCGCACTAAGATGCGCCAGTTTTGTGAGGAGGTCGCTGCTCACCGCCAGCAGCTGGGCTGGGAGGATTGGCTGCAGTACAGCTTCCCCCTGCAGCTGGAGCCCTCGGCACGGAGTTGGCGGGCTGGCATACTACGTGTCGCCAACCGAGCCCTGCTGGTCAATGTGAAGTTTGAGGGCAGTGAGGTGAGCCGTGCTTCAGAACCCTGGGGAGGCTGGCCTGGGTGCTTCACTCAGCCTGCCATGCCCCTGAGGGACTTTCTCCTGTAAATCCCCCAGCCATCCGAAACTCCCCAGTTCCTTCTCCCGGTAGCAGAAGATGGCATTCGCCAGGTCTCCAGGCATACCAAAGGACTTAGCTGGTTGTCTCACCAGGCAAATTTGGAGTTATTTTACTGGTCTGAATGATTTGTCTCATGTATGTAAGTGTACGGCATGCGTGTCTGGTGACTACAGAGGTCAGGAGACGGCATCATCAGATTCCCGAGAACTAGAGTTACAGATGCTCCTGAGCTACCAGTGGGTGCTGGGAACCAAGCCCAGCTTCTCTGCGAGAGCAGCAGATACTCAACAAGAACTGTCCCTCACCAGGCAGATTTGACAGTGCAGAGTGACCCGATTGTGTCAGACACACACACATACACACACACACACACACACACACACACACACACACCAACCCAGTGTTTTCTGGGATGGCTGATCGGTGAAAACCTAGACATGTTTTAGGGGTGGGGCGCTCTCACAGGCAGGCCTGCCTCTGTGCCCCCAGAAGCCACAGGGACTACAGCGCAGAAGGCTGACACCCTTCTCCCTACAGGAGAGCTTCACCTTCCAGGTATCCACCAAGGACATGCCCCTGGCACTGATGGCCTGCGCCCTCCGGAAGAAGGCCACGGTGTTCCGGCAGCCTCTGGTGGAGCAGCCTGAAGACTATGCACTTCGGGTGAACGGGAGGCACGAGTACCTCTATGGCAACTATCCACTCTGTCAGTTTCAGGTGAGTCCTCTGTGCGGCTAATCCTTGCCACCTCATGTGGCCCCCGGGAGCATCGGGGAACTGGCTTTTGGCCTCTCTGACCACACTGATGTAGTCGCCATGACAGCATTCCCTTCCTAACCTGGTCCTCTGTGAGCACGAGGAGGGACCGCCATCTTTAGGGGGAACCAATAGGAGGCCCCTCCTGGGGTTTGGGATAGGCAGTATCAGCTTGGGGAAGTTTCTGGAGCCATTTGTCCAGGAAATGGGTAAGGGCCACCCACCACCACCTTCCCCTGCGCCTCCATCCTAGTACATCTGCAGCTGCCTGCACAGCGGACTGACCCCCCACCTGACCATGGTCCACTCCTCCTCCATCCTTGCCATGCGGGATGAGCAGAGCAACCCTGCCCCCCAAGTCCAGAAACCACGCACCAAGCCTCCCCCAATCCCTGCTAAGAAGGTGAGACAATGTACTTCCTTCCCTGTGGTCCCCCAGTCAGCTGGGAGGCACAGCAGGAGGGCCTGGGCTCAGGGGCCCTTGGTGGGTGGTCAGTGTCCTGTTGGGATGTGTGTGACCTGCAGGACAGCCTCCTCCGTTGTCCTCTTGTGGATCTTGGGGGCACGGGGGGCCCTTGTGCGTCTTGCGCAGTGGTCATTTTGGTAAAAGACAGTGCTGGGGACAGGTGTCTGAGATTGCCACCAACCCTGCCTCCCTCCTTCCCCAGCCATCTTCTGTGTCCCTGTGGTCCCTAGAGCAGCCATTCTGCATTGAGCTGATGGAGGGCAGCAAGGTGAATGCGGACGAGAGGATGAAGGTAGGGCTCCCGGGCCAGGTGACAGACGGACGGACGGAGCCACTGTTTGCTGCACAAACAAGGTGGTTGTGGCCGGGAGGGGTGGCAGCGGAAGAGGAGTGGGAAGATGTCACACGAAAGCCACCTGACCACATTACCCAGCATCCCTGACTGGAGTGGTTGTAAGCCGCTTCAAAACAGGAAGAGGGGAGTGGGGTGGGCCAGCCAGCCAGAGACTGATTCGTGGAAACCGGGCAGAGCCGATTTCTGTGTATTTGACTTTGGTGGAGGTTGTGGGGATGAAAGAGGTGTCTGGGGAGGTGAGCTGGGAAGAGCTGGCTGTGTCTGGTCAGGGTCTGCCTGCAGCGTGGACGGGCAGTGGCCTCATCCCCTGGGGCCTGAGCTCCCTCTGGGCTGTGAAGATAGTGTAGGGGCTCTGTGCTCTTTGGCTTTAAAAAAAACACAGCCACAATCTTCACATCCCCTTTTCTCACCGCTGCCCTTCCAGGCGGAGGAGTTATTGTTCCATTTGTGGAACGGGAAGCCCACAGAAAGGCTGGGATTCCCTTCTGAGCGCGGTAGTTTTACAAGTCTGGAGGGCTGGCTACCTGTGTCTGGAGTTGATGGAATGGTGGCGCTCCTGGATAAGAGCCCCAAGATAACAAAAAGGCAGGCAGGCAGGCAGCCTCAGGATGACAGAGCCAGGGAGCCCTGAGGCCTGGAGTGGGACAGGACAGGCCTTGAGGTGTCGGTGCACAGTCTGTGTGGCCTCCCCTGTCCCATGATTCCTCGTCCTACTTGGCCAGTGGCTTTCCCTCTGAGGAGCAGCCGTCTCCCCGCCCTCCACGAGGAAGTAGATTCGGACCTACTTTAGAATGAGGACATTTGAGGAGAACATTGGTGGGAGAAGCAGGCGAGGGAAGGGGTGGCGCAGGGCCCCGCCCCCCTTACTCTGTGTCTGGCACCCCCACCCCAGCTGGTTGTGCAGGCGGGGCTCTTCCACGGCAATGAGATGCTATGCAAGACGGTGTCCAGCTCAGAGGTGAGCGTATGCTCGGAGCCCGTGTGGAAACAGCGGCTGGAGTTCGACATCAGCATCTGCGATCTGCCGCGCATGGCCCGGCTCTGCTTTGCGCTCTATGCCGTTGTGGAGAAGGCCAAGAAGGCGCGGTCTACGAAGAAGAAGTCCAAGAAGGCGGTAGGTAGCGCTGGCTGGGAGGAGCCCAGGCCTCCCTGCAGTGCCCCACAGGCAGGTAGTCCTGGGGGGGGGTGAAACCCTAAGCCTCTCCACCACCGCAGTCTGCAACCATACCCACTGTAGGAAGGGGTAACTTGTGAGCAGCCTGCTTGGGACTATCCATCCGCTCTGGACCTGTAGCCCCTTGGGCTTTTGCAAGCAGCTCCCCTGGGTAGAGAGTGTCCTCAGTGGGACTAAAGGGCCTGGAGCAGCTGTGGCCTTGAGTGGCTGTGCCCCCTCACCCCCGTGGCACTTCTAGAGTATCAGCTGACCCTTGCCCTGCTAGTGCACCCTGGGAGCTGAGCCAAGTGCTGGGATCTGGTTTCCATTTCTCTGGCAGCCAGGAGCAGGGATGCAGGCCTTGCTGGGTTTGCAACTAGGACAAGGCCGTTGGCTCTCCTGCTTCTCAAACAGGGTCTTTCCTTGAGTCCTCCTGGGAGTCCTCCCGTGGAGCCCAGACCCCTTCCCCCACTTCAGGTTTGTCTACTCTGAGGTGAGCAAAAGGGGCTTTCGTGACTGGCCGTAACTCACTGATGTCATTCTGCCAGGACTGCCCCATCGCCTGGGCCAACCTCATGCTATTCGACTACAAAGACCAGCTCAAGACTGGCGAGCGCCGCCTTTACATGTGGCCCTCAGTCCCAGGTGGGCCCAGCCCCAGGGGATCAGCTAGTGGCAGGGGAGGTCCCAAAGCCAGTGACCTCACGCATACAACTCCGTCTGTCCCCGTGCTCAGATGAGAAGGGAGAGCTGTTGAACCCTGCGGGGACAGTGCGTAGTAACCCCAACACGGAGAGTGCCGCAGCCCTGGTCATCTTCCTGCCTGAGGTGGCTCCCCACCCAGTGTACTTCCCTGCTCTGGAGAAGGTCAGTGACAGCCCTGCCCTCTTTCCAGACCAGTGGTTCGCAGCCTCCCTAACGCCACGACGCCTTAATACAGTTCCTCGTGTGGTGGTGACCCCCCCAACCATACAATTATTTTCATTGCTACTTTATAAAAGCTGTAGTTTTACTGCTGTTATGAATCATAATGTAAACAACTGTGTTTTCCGACAGTCTTGGGTGACCCCCGTGAAAGGGTCATTCGACTCCCAAAGGGGTTGCGACCCCTGAGTTGAGGACCATTGTTCTAGACCTCTCTCAGTCCAGTTCTACAGTTCTTCAAAGAGCAGACCCTGGCCACCCTGGGATTTGCCCCTTGCTAGGGCGTATGTCATTATGCCAATTCAGGAGTTTCCTAGAGCCATTTTGGCCGCCGTTGGGTAAAGTCTGGTGTGGGAAAGCTGCCTCTGCATTGCCAGGCCGGGCAGTGCCCAAATCGGTTTCCATGAGTGACAATGACAAGCACTAGTCTGAGGTGTAGATGTCCTGCCTCGGGGCCCTGCCAAGGGCTGCCCCAGACCCAGGATATTGAGAGCCAGACGCTTGTTACAGATCCTGGAACTGGGGCGTCACGGGGAGCGTGGACACATCACGGAGGAGGAGGTGAGCTCGGGTCCCGGAAGTGGGGAGCTGGAATCAGGTACAGGGCGGAAGGCCTCACCCTGTCTTCCCTTCAGCAGCTACAGCTGCGGGAGATCCTGGAGCGGAGGGGGTCTGGGGAGCTGTACGAACACGAGAAGGACCTGGTGTGGAAAATGCGTCACGAAGTCCAGGAGCGCTTCCCGGAGGCGCTGGCCCGCCTGCTGCTGGTCACCAAGTGGAATAAACACGAGGACGTGGCCCAGGTGAGTAGAGATGGGAGTCTGGGGAAGGAGCCGCGCGTGGATGGACGGCTGCCGCCCACCCCCACCTGACCACCAAGCTATCCCAGATGCTCTATTTGCTGTGCTCCTGGCCCGAGCTGCCCGTGCTGAGCGCCCTGGAACTGCTGGACTTCAGCTTCCCCGACAGCTACGTGGGCTCCTTCGCCATCAAGTCCCTGCGGAAGCTGACGTGAGTCCTGGCCGGGTGCTACCTCTGGGGACACAGACTTCTTCTCTTCCAGAAGGCGGCTCTGCCCCAACTGCCGGGAAGTGGGTTCTGGGTTGGGATGAACCTGGCCTCTGCCTCCCACTCTGCTGTAGACCATCAGCCCTCTTTTCTCCACAGGGATGACGAACTTTTCCAGTACCTTCTGCAGCTTGTGCAGGTGCTCAAATACGAGTCCTACCTGGACTGCGAGTTGACCAAATTCTTGTTGGACCGAGCCCTGGCTAACCGCAAGATCGGCCACTTCCTCTTCTGGCACCTCCGGTAGCTGGATGCACCCCAGCCTGTTCCTTGGGAACCCCATGAGGGCCACGGGGAAGGGAGATCTCAGGCTTACTGACCTCATGTTTCTAGCAAGCCCAGATGTTCTGGGTGTCCTGGGTCTCACCCCGGCTGGGGTGTGTGGCAAGGTACTGGGCAAGACTCATGCCGTATTTTTTTTCCAGCTCTGAGATGCACGTACCATCCGTGGCCCTGCGCTTTGGCCTCATCATGGAGGCCTACTGCAGAGGCAGCACCCACCACATGAAGGTGCTGATGAAACAGGTAAGGCTTGGGCCAGGCTCTACGTCTAGACTTTAGAATGCTATGTGTGCCCCTGTCCCCCGCTACACCTCTCTCTCTCTCTCTCTCTCTCTCTCTCTCTCTCTCTCTCTCTCTCTCTCTCTCTCTCTCTCTCTCTCTCTCTCTCTCTCTCTCTCTCTCTCTCTCTCTCTCTCTCTCTCTCTCTCCCCCCCCCACCTGAGGCTGGCACTGGCCACTGCCTTGCCTTTTTTGCTGTCACCACCAGGGGGAGGCACTGAGCAAGCTTAAGGCGCTGAATGACTTTGTGAAGGTGAGCTCTCAGAAGACCACCAAGCCCCAAACCAAGGAGATGATGCATATGTGCATGCGTCAGGAGACCTACATGGAGGCCCTGTCCCACCTGCAGTCTCCACTCGACCCCAGCACCCTCCTGGAGGAAGTCTGGTGAGCCCTATGCCTGTCCCCCGCCCAGGGCTCCTCCCACCCCTCCGGCCTGCGGAGGAGCACCGGTTGACCCCAGTCTCTGGCCTGCAGTGTGGAGCAGTGCACCTTTATGGACTCCAAGATGAAGCCACTGTGGATCATGTACAGCAGCGAGGAGGCGGGCAGGGCTGGCAGCGTGGGCATCATGTTTAAGAACGGAGACGGTGAGCAGGCGGGGCTGGGGAGCCTGCCAAGGCCCTGCCCGTCCCCATGCTATCTCGAGGGGGGTGGTCCTGGAGATGGGAGTTGAAAAATTACCCTGGGACCTAAGGGCCTACACACCCGGGAATGCAGAACCCGCCAGACGCTTGCGGTCTCCTTCCCTCCCTGCAGACCTCCGCCAGGACACGCTGACCCTGCAGATGATCCAGCTCATGGACGTCCTGTGGAAGCAGGAGGGCCTGGACCTGAGGTGGGAGCCCGTCCCGAAGGCTGCCATATCATTACCGTGTCAGCTGGGAAAAGGAGGGGCTGTTCTCAGTACAGCGAGACGACAAAGCTAGGAGGGAGGGGGGGCGGGGAAGGCGCCCAGGCGGCCACCTGGCCCCGTCTGCACCCCCTGGCTTCCTGCCTGTCCTAGGAAGCAGCAGTCTTCTCCTAAGTCCTCATCATCTTGGGTGCCAGCGGTGGAGACTCCCGAGTTCCCCTCCTCAGCAACCTGAGTGTGGCATCATCCCCTGGGGCTATTTGGAATGTTGTCCCCAGGGAGAGCCTCTGGTCATGACATTTTCTCGGTTCACCTCCCCTTCATGTAGGATGACCCCCTATGGCTGCCTCCCCACTGGAGACCGCACAGGCCTCATTGAGGTGGTCCTGCACTCAGACACCATCGCCAACATCCAGCTGAACAAGAGCAACATGGCGGCCACGGCTGCCTTCAACAAGGATGCCCTGCTCAACTGGCTCAAGTCCAAGAACCCCGGGTAGGGTTCAGGCCTTCTCCTTCCTGGGAGGCGTGATGTGGGAGGAGTCGGCCTGTCAGAGACGAGGCAGGAGGGAGGGCTGTAGGTAGGAGGGGCCAGTCTGAGTCAGCCAGGCTGTTCTTATGTGTCTGTCAATGCCACTCAAAGCATAAGGCTGCAGGAAATCCACCATTCTGAGCGGGCTCGAGTGAGCTCACCTGGGATAACCTAGGATAGCCTGCATGTGTTGCTTGGGACAACTCAAACCATCTAGGGCTTTCGCCAAGCCTGGTAGGTCTAAGATGGATTCGATTGAATGCCTGGAGCCTTGGTACTGCCTCTGAGCCTTACCTCTCCTCCTGGATTCTGCTCACGGCCCCAGCTTCTTCCCCATGATGCTCACGGGGACAGGTTCGAGGCCAGGGAGGTACCCTAGGCTGAGGCTCTGGAACAGGGTGTACTCTGTGTTCTGTTGAGTAGAGCAAGCCAAAGGGGCTAGACTCAAGGAGGGGGAAGAGCAGCCCTAGACTCAGGAGGGGAAGAACAGCCCCTACCTCCAGTAGAAGGAGCCGCAGTATTGGTGTGGCCGTGACCTTTGTCTTCCCTTTCCCACTCAGGGAGGCCCTGGAAAGAGCCATCGAGGAGTTCACCCTCTCCTGTGCTGGCTACTGTGTGGCCACATACGTGCTGGGCATCGGTGACCGACACAGTGACAACATCATGATCCGAGAGAGTGGGCAGGTAGGGAGGTGTAGGCGGGTGGGTTCCCCATGGCAGCCTGACCTCCAGTCCTGGCCTGCTGGCCCCTCTGCCCTGGATTCAGTATCCCAGGCGATGCTATGAGCCCTGCCAGTGTCATCTTTGCCTGGGGCTCTTAGAAACTGCAGCCCCGTGTTCTCTATAGCATCTTTTCCCTCCTCCCAGGGTTCCCCGGGGCTCGGATCCATCTCACACCGAGGCTAGGGCTCCGCTCTTGAGCCACACCCCCTTGAGCCACACCCACACACACTGCCACCCCACCCCCGCCCCTCCTTTGGGGCTTCTCACGGTGTGCCCTCCCCTCCCCTCAGCTGTTCCACATTGATTTTGGCCACTTCCTGGGGAACTTCAAGACCAAGTTTGGAATCAACCGTGAACGGGTCCCCTTCATTCTCACCTACGACTTCGTCCACGTGATTCAGCAGGGGAAGACCAATAACAGTGAGAAATTTGAACGGTGAGGGTGCCGCCACCGATTATCCGCCCCGGACAACCGGGGACCCCGGGTGAAGGATGAGGACGGAGACCGCTGTCTCCCGGCCCCTCCCGGGGGTGTGTCCTTCTGTAGGGGGCAGGGCGAACAGGTCCGCCCGAGGAACTCTAGGGGGCTTTTGTACACCACCCATCAGTGGAGCAGCAGCTCAGAGGAAAGAGCAAACGTGCCCTCTGGCCCTTGGGCTGGGGGTGGCAGAGAAAGTCCAGAACCTCACCCGGCCACGCCCCTGCAGGTTCCGCGGCTACTGTGAACGAGCCTACACCATCCTGCGGCGCCACGGGCAGCTCTTCCTCCATCTCTTCGCCCTGATGCGAGCCGCGGGTCTGCCTGAGCTCAGCTGCTCCAAGGACATCCAGTACCTCAAGGTGGGTGTCCTTGTGAGGTCGCCGTGGCTGCGATAAAGACCCTGACCAAAAGCAACTTGGGGAGGAAGCGGGGGTTTATTTCAGCGTACAGGTGTAGTCCACCATGATGGGGAAGCCGAAGCCAAGGTTTGCTCCACTCGGCTTGCTCAGCCTGCTTTCTTAGACAATCTGAGACCACCTGCCCAGGGGGGGGGTGGCACCATTCACGGTGGGCTGGGCCATCTCACATTGGACATCGAACTTAACTACAGGCAGCCTAATTGGAGGCAGTTCCTCGATTTTGAGGCGTCTCAGTCCCAGGTGACTCTAGTTTGTGTCGAGTTGACAAAACTAACCAACAACTCAAGACAGGGTTTGAATCTACCTACTCTAGGGCTGTCTGCTTCCCAAGGCCTGCCTGCCTGGGCAGTCTGGGTCCTCGAAGGGCCCCATTGGTGGGCTTGGTGGTGGTACTGATGCTGTCCTAGCAACGGGGTATGGATGGTGGGAAGTGGGCAGAGTGGTCCAGCTCACGGGGCTTGGTCGTGCTGGGTTGAGATGTGGTAACCTCCTTAATCCACATGTGCCTCACAGGTGTCTACACACACACACACACACACACACACACACGCACGCACACACGCACGCACACACGCACGCACGCACGCTCATGCACGTGCACACACACACACGCATGCAAGCACGCTCACGCACGCACGCACGCACGCATGGGATCTGTGTGAGCTAAGGCTTCTCCTACATCTTACAGAATGCTTCCTTCCCACACTGTTTGTGGTAAGCGGAGCAGAGTGAGGTGGCGACAGACCCCAGAGCTAGCCAGGGTATTTCATTCCCTGAAGGCCACCTAGCACTCCAGGGCTTCTGGCTCCAGACACTTTTGGCATCTGAGTCAATGGGTGGGCTGGGTGGGCCACCGGGGGCCTGGGGTCTGAGAAAAGAGCTTTCCCTTTGAGAGAGGATTTAACAGCCCATTGGGCGTCAGCAGAGAGAGAGAGAGCAGGATCCCTCAATGTTGCCCTGCTGTGATGTTTGCCCAGGACTCTCTGGCACTAGGGAAGACAGAGGAGGAGGCGCTCAAACACTTCCGGGTGAAGTTCAATGAAGCCCTACGGGAGAGCTGGAAAACCAAAGTCAACTGGCTGGCGCACAATGTGTCCAAGGATAACAGGCAATAAGGGGCCTCCCCTCCTGGTGCCACACATCCTTCCTTCTCAGCCCTAGAGGTAAACAGTCGGTCCTGGGGACCGGGCACGCTTAGTGGTCATCAAAGAGGCCCCAACGCCTGAACAGCTCCTCTAGGGGAAGAACCACACAGTTGCCTCGTTTATACTGGTTATTTATTTATGACTCAATGTTTAAGGGACAAAACAGCCATAAACAGAACTGTCTTTGTGGAGGGGAGGGGTGCTGTCCTCTTGAGACACCCCTAACCCTGCCCCAGTCAGCACTGTAAGCAGCGCCTTGAGGATTGCACCCCTAGTCTTCCAACCTATGGATCTAGGCCCAGAAAAGACCGTTCTTCTCGGGGCCTTCTCCCCAGCAGGCTGCCTGGAGCCTCCCCTCCAGACAGGACACTTCAATCCTCAGCTCACCTCAGTCACCTTTGTGTGGCCCACCTTTGGCAACCTCTACCAACCAAGCTTCCAGCAGCTTCCAAGGAAACCAGAAGCCAGGGCGCCCTCTAGACTCAGGCACACTCGCTCGGCCCTGCTCAAGTGACCTCTTGGATAATGGGGACAGCCTCACCTTTTATTTTCGGGTAAGAAAACGGCAGCCAAACTATGTACAGAACTCTACAGCTGGGGACAAGGACCCCGCCCCTGCTATGTCTTGTTACGTGCTAGGCCTCAAAACACTCCCGAAACTGGCGGCTGATTTAGCTCGGTCACAAGACAAAAGCAGGTCAGAGTGCAGTCCTGTGCAGTGAGTGTGAACCACACCCAGAGGCAGCTTTGTGAAAGGGCAGGATTGGTCTCTCCTAGAGCTGTCCCCCCAGGAGGCAGCTGGGGAGCCAGGTCTGCAGGGAGAGCAAGAGTTGAGGGTTCGAGAACCCAAAGTTGTCAGGGCTTTTATCCTTGAAAAGGAATGGATCAGAGCGACTCTAGAAACGCAGGTCTGACCCTCTTCCCGAGCTTCCCGAAGCCATGCTGGCAATGGAGCTAGACACCTGGGCTTTCAGAAGCTAAGTGATCCGGGGACACAGCTCAGTGGCACAGCGTGTGCCTGGTGTGCCATCCCAAGCACATCTCGCTCCGTGTATCAAGTGCAACCTCAGGTAGCATTCTGAGACTTGTAACCATCACTGCCGTGTTGCCAGCAGCCCAGACCATGGCTCAAGGAGGCCAAGTGCCGGCTCCCCCATGGTGGCGAGCTGAGCGACCAGCAGCAGACTGTTCCTCCTCAAAGTACCTGCTTAGTCCATAGTAGCTGAAACCCTCTGCCTGCCCCAGCAATTCTGATAGGAAATGAGCGTGTGTGTATGTGTGTGGCATGCGCGTGTGCCTGTGCTCTTGTGAGTGCGCGTGTGTGCGTGTGTGTGTGTGTGTGTGTGTGTGCGCGCGTCAAGTTATTTATTGAAATGAGTCTAGGTGCTCTCGTGTGGCTGCAGACTGTATACACTCAGCCTTCAGAGAGTTAGGCATATGGTCTGTGCACCTGGCTGTAAGAATATTTTCTATTTTTTTAAGTAATTTCGTGTTTGTGTGGGGAAAGTGGATTTCCTTTCACTGATGTGGGCTGAGTCATTTGTGCGACCTTGACATAACAGGTAAAGACGGGTGAAAAGAAATAAAGGCCTTTTTACGTTCTTACATTCTCGGCTCAGAAAGCAGCAGCAGGGGAGGGGCGGCTGGGAATTCGGTACAGCGCTTGCCTGGAATGGGTGTGGTAGTCGTCCCCCCCCCCGCCCCTCCCCCCCGCCCCCCCTCCCCCCCCGTAATCCCAGCACTGATCAGGAGGAGGCAGGAGGATTGCTTTAAGTTTGAGAGAAGCCTGGTCTAGCAGGAAGCTCCACACCAGCTTGCCAGGGCTACAGAGCAGACCTTGTCTCAACCATCACCCCCTCCCCAAAAGTGACAGAACAGACCCCACTCAGGCTAGAGTTAGAACCAGACTTTATTATAGTGCATACACTTCCTGGCCTAGCGTCAATATACACATCTTAAAGGAGACAGACACATGAAAACGTCCCTCTCCGCACTAGCCTCTTTCCATCATCTAATAAAAGAGCTACAGGGACAGGACATGGGAGGGTGGCCACAGACAGCACAGCCGTCAGCATCCTTAAAACTAGCAGCGAGGGCCGGAGGTTCCCTGCTGGAGAAGCCTCAACTGTGATTATAAGTGACAAGCTGAGTGCTGTGTGGGTTTAGACTACTGTGTCCTACCTTGCCGCCACCAAGCAGCAAGACTTCCTGGCTCCTGGGGCTTGGTCTTACCCCACACCCTGACAGCAAGGGGGGGCATCCCATGGGGCTTCTGGGGAGGGGGAGAAAGCAGACTGTTTTGGAACATTCTAGCACTTTGTCTTGGGGCCTCAGGCTCTCCTTTTGGATGCTGTAGTGTAGACGTGCTCAGGCCTGTTGTCTTCAAATCAAAGGAGCCTGACTGTCTCACAGAATTGCTGTCAGTTCCCATGAGCTACACGTTTTTAGCATCAGGGAGACAGTGAGGCTGCAGAGCGAGGAGGCTGCCAGTCACAGGGGACAGAGGACAGAGATGTAGCAACCACCTGGCCGTCCCCAGCCTCCAGTGTGGTGGGGTGCTCGGGTCTGGTCTCCCAAGCGGCGCTGGGAGCCACGTGGCTGTACAGAGACCCCCCAGCAAGGGCCACAGTGCCTTGGGCTTCTCCAGCCTGATTTCTTGGGAGAAGAGAGGGGAGCAGAGTCCCTCCCGGGCCTGTGTTCAGGCTCCACTTTCCATCCCTGTCCTGGACTATACTAGCACAGAGGACACAGAGAATCCCGATTTATTTACAAAATATTAAAAAGTCAGTTGGTCATCTACATATTATCCCATTCTCCCACTTTATACATGCACTAGTTCGGAAAAAAAAATAAAAACTTTTAAAAATAAAGAAAAATGATTACCAGGTGGGAGTAATTTTTTTTTTTTACCCTTTGTCAGCAAGTCCACGGCAACTTCTGGAGGTGTCCTCTCCCGGACCAACGGGGGACTACAGCCACATGTGGGGTCCGAGGTGTTGTGGGGCTGCCGTGCCCAAATGTGGCCAGGGAGGAAGTGCCAGCTCCTAGCAAGGCTGCACGAGTGATGGGCAGGGAGGGCAGAGGGCGGAGCCTATGGTCCCACACACCAAGCACAGGCGATGTTCAGCGAAGGGGGAGGGGTCTGCAGACCTGCTGGCCAAAATGGTTTTGTACATCGTGGACCCGTGGGGCTGGGAGACGGCGAGGAGGGAGCTCTGGAGAGCGGTTGCCGAGGCGTGTTTAGTAGCTGAGCGTGGAGTCGTCCCATTCCAGCTGCTGCTGTCGGGTGGCGTTCTGGCCGTCCCCGGGGCCGCCCTCCTCCTCCTCACTGCTCTCTGACTCGGCACTGGTGATCTCCTCCTCCTCCTCGCCGTCTTCACTCTCCTCCTCTTCCTCCTCCTCTTCCTCCTCCTCACTGCTGTGCTGGTCCTCATACGTCTGGGGAGGAGAAGATGGTGTGAGTCTTGCTGGCTGGCCCCATCACCTTCTAGAGGCCACAGTGGCCTAGGAGCTGAGCAGCCCTAGAGCCGCCCACGCGAAGTGCCAGGGGCAGGTGAACAGCTCATCAGGGACCCGAACCCACGCACAGGGAGGGGCGCTCGATGCTGAGGGAGGGGTGGAGCCTCGTCCTGTTACACCAGAACCATCTTGGGGTAAAGAAGCAGAAAGCACCAATTGCCTACTTAGGCTTACCGGAGTGACCTTCAGCGAGGGCTCTGAGCCTGGGTTTCCTCAACTGAGGATGACCCCCCCCCATGTCACAGACCCAATGTACAAGGACACGAGGGACCATGGCGCCACAGGTCTCATCTGGGGCCCCTCTGCACCTACCTCCATGGGGTTCACGGTGATGGTCAAGGCAGAGTCATCCCAATCCATCTCATTTTCCTTCCCCGTGTCCTGGTCCCGCATGGTTCGCTGGTGTGCAGCTCGGATTCGAAACACCCCCAGGATGACCATGAAAACCAGGAAGCTGACACACACCACGATCACCACGGTCGCCGTGCTGGGGACAACTGCCGAGAGATTTGGAGTCCGGACTCGGCTTCTGTGACACTGCTTACCCGGACACAGCCATCCCAGCCTTGGCCTCCCAAACCACTGAGGTCAGAATGAGTGTGTCCGAGTGCTTCGCCCAACTCCAAAGGCCAGGAGGAAACGCTGCGGCAGCCGGGCTGTCGCTAGCTGACAGGCAGTGGTTGTGAGCTGTGCTTACAGCCAGGTTTCGTTGTGTGTGTGGGGGGACCCATCTGGACCCTTCCCGGACACACCATAGCATTGTGACCTGTGTACATCCCAATAGTCCTACCTGCGAATGGGTGAGGGTTGGCCAGGTTGTGACCAGACAGGTCAACAAAGGAGCGATGTTCGGGGTGGACAAACTGTGGCTGGGCAGCCATGTGGTTAGCGTGCTCCACAGGGTTGGCTGTGTGGATCACATTCACCTGCAGTGGATGAGGAGAAACCACTAAGGCTGGCGTCCCACGTGTACCTGGCAGGTAGACGTGGAGTCAGTCGCTGGCAAAGCCACGCTGCTCCCGGTGACCAGAAAAAAACCAGATGTAGGAACCTGTCAACTGGTGTCACGGTGTGACACTGTCACACATCGCAGAAACAGTGCTTGTCTAATGATTTATTTATAGTGAAGCATACAAAAGAGCACAATTACATCAGCGAAGAAAACAAACCCAGATCACTTGGGAAATGCTCGGCATAGACCGCTTTCCCAACCTGGCCGCAGGGGACGGCAAAGTCAGACCCTTGTTAGCTTTCTGCACTCGGCCCACCATGGTGGGCTGCTCAGGACAGCTGAGTCCGTGTCTCCAGGGCACAGAGGTCCTGGTTGATAAAGTCGGCTGCAGCGGAGGCTGCTGGAGCTCTCAGAGCAGAGTGTCCTCAAGCTGCTGTGACCTCAGAGTGACCGTGGCCATGTCAGCACTCACCCAACTTCACTCTCAACAGTCAGTGACCCAACACAGCTTCTTCCACATATGGAACTCAAGAACAACCTTGTCCCTCCTAACCACACACACTCACTCTCTACTGCTCTCCAAGCTCTCCAAGCCACCCCAAGCCTGCATGTCTATCCTGCGGGCTGACCACAGTGTGAACAAAGCCGCCCCTGGCCTGAGCCTACATAGTTGCTACCACAAACGTCTGAAACCTTGGGACCGGGAATCGGGACACTGGATTACTCCTACCGTTGGCTCTTTGGGGTGGGGGCCCTAGACTCACCTCCACCTTGAATTCATTGCTGAGGTAGCGACCATTTAGTTCTGAACAAATGAGCTTGAACTTCCGGTCAAGCAGGGACCTGGTGTGCCAATTCCGGTATCGCAGGAGGTGCAAAACCTCCTCATAGCTTGCCATGGTGTCCACACCTGTAGGGCGTTGAAGGTGAGTGGCCTAAGTCTGGAGCATAGGTGGGTCCAGGTAGCTAAAGTCACACACTTGGGTCAGCTGAGCCAATGGCCACAACTTGGTGGCTTTCTGTTTTTTGGGGGTGGGAGGGTTCCAGGCAGGGTTTCTCTATGGCTTTGGAGCCTGTCCTGGAACTAGCTCTTATACATCAGGCTGGCCTCGAACTCACAGAGATCCACCTGCCTCTGCCTCCCAAGTGCTGGGATTGAAGGTGTGTACCACCACTGTCTGGTTTTCTGAGACAAATCGGATAATGTCTCCATCCAGGGACTGTGCCCAGCCCACCCTGAATGGCCCAGGTCGGTCTGTGCCCACTCCCCTCCCCTACCCCCGCCTGGTGCGGAAGGGCACCCGTGTGAAGTGAATGTGTTACTCCACATCTGCAGGCAGGCCAGAGCCTCACCTTCCCTTCTTACCCCTTCTTACCCTCTGCTCAGTCCCTGCCCCTCACCTGTAAAGACCACGCCCAGGTCGGAGTGGCTCGCTTCGATGCCCTTCTGCTGGAGGCGGGCCATATCCACCTCCAGGCTCTCCTGCTCTGGGTTCAGCTCCTCCCCTTCCACTGTGACCTCGCAGGTGTCCAGGTCATGCACAATTTCTTCTGACACCAGGGACTCTTGAACTGCAGAGATGGCCGACCAGAAATAGCAGAGGCTATGGGGCGGGCAACGCCAGTCAACTCCAACCCCCAGCCTCATCCCGGGCTCACAGCCAAGAGTCTAAGGGCTGAGACTAAATCAAGGTGTCACCGTCCAGACTCAGCAGCCGGGAGCGTACTTGGTGGCGGTGTATACGGCTAGCATTCTGAAGGCCCAGGTCCCAGGCCCAGAAACAGCCCAGTCAATAAACAGCACCTAGTGAGTCCCCAGTAAGAATGGTGGGGACATTGTCCTCCTGCGGGCCGACCCTCAAGCCGCATCTTATGTCTGACCAAAAAGATGTAAAGACTCCATCCATGGCCAAGTTGCAGAAACAGACCCAAGTACTAAAACATTAAAACCCCCAGAACCACACAGACAAAGGGCCCACGAGGGGGCTGGCAGGCCAGGTACAGCTGTTACCTGTGGGGTCCTCTGCCCCGTCCCCCTCAGGTTCCACTTCTCTGGTGATGGTGCTGATGATTCGAAGTTCAGGGAAGAGGGAAACACCCTCTGGACTCTCAAACTCAGAAGCAGCCCGGGCAA